GAGTATTGGTTTAAGGTAAAAGGTAAAGGACCTCTGGGCAGTTAAGTCCAGTCAAAGGCAACTCTGGGGTTGCAGCACTCATCTTGCTTTCAGGCCAAGGGAGCCGGCGTTTGTCCACAGACAGCTTTCTGGGTCATGTGGCCAGCATGACTAAACCGCTTCTGGTGCAACGGGACACTGTGATGGAAACCAGAGTGCGTGGAAACGCCGTTTATCTTCCCGCCCCAGTGGTACCTATTTATCTACTTGCACTGGTGTGCTTTCGAACTGCTAGCTTGGCAGGAGGTGGGACAGAGCAACAGGAGCTCACCCCGTCGCATGGATTTGAACCGCCAACCTTCTGATTGGCAGTGGTTTAGACCACAGTGCCACCAGCTCACCCAATTGGTTTAAATAGTGGGTCACATTGTAGGTCGATAGAATCACATCATTTGAAAAGTGAAGTATGCAGTATGCCTCTGAATGCTGGGAATCCTAAGAGGAGAGAATGATGCTCTGTTCAGATCCTGTTTGAAGGCTTCCTATAGTCATCTGGTTGGCCATTATGAGAGCAGGATACTGGACAAGAAGGGCCATTCACCCAAACCTCCAGGCTCTTCTTATATTCAGTTCAGTGTCCTCCAGATATCTTGACATTTGTATCCAATCCACCTGTAATATGATTTGTAAACAGGTGTTTTTTAAAAAATTCTCCCCAACAGGATTTGACTTCTCAGAAATGTAGCATCGTCATACATGTATTTTCAAATTGGTATACTGATTACCTTAAAAAAAATAAGTGGGGGGGGATTCATCTTATATAATCACCTATCTAGAAAACAAATAATCAGCAACCTGAAGGGAACTGCAGCTGAGGTCCTTCGCTTGACTTTGCAGTTTACAAACTGAAATGTTTGAAGCAAAGGAAGTCTTCCAGCTAGCATAATTGTTTTAGACAAAGATTCTGACCCTTTTTAGTAATAACTGTGTGAGTTTCACTGCTGTCTCTGAAGGCACAGGGATGATGGAATGCATGTTTGCCGCTGGGCTTAAACGTAAAGGAAACGTGAGTCGTGTTTAGGGAAGCTTTTGATGTTTGATGCATTACTGGTGTTATGTACTGAAGTTCTCACCCTGGGCCAGCAGGGGGATACTGTAGATAGTTATGCAAATGAAGGATCGAAAGTGACGTTCAGTGATTGGATAGTTTTAGAAAGTTGTTACAGTAACAAGGTACTGGAGCTCTATATAAGCAGGCTGACTGAGCTTTTCAGTTCAGTTCTGTTCTGGCCTCTGAATAAAGAGCTGTTTGAAGAATCGCTGTGTCGTCTGATATGTTCACCCACAACTTAACAACTGTATTTTAATATTTTGTTGGAAGCTGCCCAGAGTGGCTGAGGAAGCCCAGCCAGATGGGCGGGGTATAAATAATAAATTATTATTATTATTCATACGACTCACAGATGCGAATCCATGGTGCAGGATCCTGCCAGCTGGTGTGACTCTGCTCTGTCTGTGATCAGCCAAAGATCCAAATTTGTCCCTACATGCAATCAGCACAATCATCATAACTCTTAGTTAACTTGGGAACCCTGCAAAATGTATCATCCCAAATGCTTGGGCATTCATAGGCCTTTTTCAGATCTTTGGCAAAATGTGCACAGGCCATAAGACAGGGCAAATGGGTGTGATTCCACTCTCTCCATGCACTCTCATACCAGCAATTATGTTCTGGGAACAGCCCAGTTCCTTCTCCTTCTTCTTCTCCTCAATAATAAATAATGGTATTTATCATAATGTAGCAGTATGGTCAAAGGTGACTAATCATTACTTATATATAAAAAAGAAGCATATGGGTTTGAATAGAGACCATTTTTTATTTTTAAATTTGCTTTTGCCTTTCCAAATAGTGATGAGTGCACCTTAAGTAGCTCTTTAATTACCTCTAATCACTTTAGATTAGAGAGTGGGATAATTACAGAATGTTTAAAGTCAATTTTACTTTAAAAAAATAATAACCCATTGATAAAGATAACAAGGCAGGGTACAGAAGATAAAATAAAATGAACCAAGCATATAATAAAATAAGCACTTATGTGCTATAAATAAATAATTAATATTAACCAAATGAGGCAGCTAAAAACAGCCGCCAATTAAATATAATACAGGAACTCAATGCCATGAAACCATAAGATTGTGCCACAAAATAAAATCTCACCCAAGTTGTCCATTTGAAACGCTCTAAGTTGACACAGAATGAAATAAGACAATTGGGTTGTGTGGTTAAAACAGAGGGAGGAACAATTTTTTTAAAGGGCCACATTCTCCTGAAAGAATGAATGAATGGCTAAAATATACAACTACCAGATCCAGTGATATTTCAGGGCAGCTTTCAGTTTTCTAGTTAAGCAAAAGTCATGAGAAAGCACCTCTATATTGTTCAGCATGTGCATGTGCTAACTGCCAAGTATGCCATAGGGCTCCTCCCATCGCAATGAGGAACTAGAACTCACAACAGGTTTTGCCAAAGGCTTTTATTTTCAGGTCAGAGTGGTACATAAGGCAGTCACAGATTGCAAGGGTCAGCAACTACATGAGAGATCAAAGGTATGGATAAATCATTCAATCAAAGAGCGACTTGCCCCTTGCACTCCTTCCTTTTGAAAGACTAGGTGGGCATTGCATTAGCAAAGCAAGCTACTCCATTGCTGAGAGTGGGACACCCTCTTCGTGAGTTGGCTGGGTGAGGTAGTTAACAATACAAAGTTTTCCGTCAGTTGCCCAGACAGGCATTCTGTTAATCAAGAATGGGGAACCTTTGGCCTTCCAGATGTTGCTATTGACACATCCAGTATGGCCAATGGTCAGGGATGCTGGGAGTTGTAGTCCAACAACCCACCTGCAGGGCCACAGGTTTCCTGTCCATGCTGTACACAATGGGTGAAACACAAACAATTTTCTTTGCTGTCCATTTTCCCACCACTGGTTCTCTACAGTGAAGAATCCATGGCATAAAGAGAAGTTTTCAGGGCCCCCCCCCCCCGCACTGGAAGGGTCATTTATTCTTACACACTTTGTCCAAAAAATAAATAAAATAAAAATTGTGCCCAGCCACTCTGGACACTTACAGCACACAAAAATTGCAAAACATCACACACGAAAAATTTCTGGATACAGGGCTGCCTTCAGACGTCTTCTAAAAGTCAGGTAGTTGTTTATTTCCTTGACATCTGATGGGAGAGCGTTCCAGACAGCAGGCGCTAAGGTTTATGACGTAGGAAAATAAAGGTACACATTCTAAATAGTCCAAAAATAGAAGAGTATGTCAGGAGGGGGCACTTCCTTGAGCACCCAAAAGGCTTGATAGGCAGCCAATTCAGGGGCGCTGACTTGGGCCCCACATTATGGGTGCCCAGCAGAATGCATAACATAACATGACATCATGATGTTATGTTATGTTGCACGTGCCACAGCAGCACCTGGGAGCCCCGGAAGTTGAGTCAGAGGCCTCACAAGGCCTTGGAAGTTACCTGTGAGGCCTTGGATGCAACTTCCGGGGTTTTGTGAGGCCCCAGAAATCATGCCGGAGACCTCACAGTGCGAGTGCTAGGCACCCGCAACAATTTTTTGTGGGTTCCCGGCCCCTCAGGGCCCCCTATAGTTGGCACCAGTGGGCCTATTTATAGTTCATTCTCTTCTAGAGAATAATTTCAAAGCTTGCCCTGCCCACATTAGCTTCTGTAGTATACATACCTCCATCCCATATAGATATTTGAAATCCCACAAGCACCTCTGCCCCGTCAGTCAAAATAAAACAATAATGCAACTCAGTTGATTTTGAGTGCCATAAGAGGAAGGTAAATTGCAGCAATTTACTGCCCTTTTGTGGCACGCAAAATCAGCTATCTGAGTTGGCTTTCGCACTCCGCCTAATGGTAGAGCTGGCCTGGGGTACAGAAAGTAATGTGTCGTTCTTACTGATTTGTTTGGCTGTCTCCATTTGTTATTCTGATAGCTGTGTGTGTGTTCCTTTATTGTTTATTGGTTTTTTCTTAAGGTATATTGTTAGCCAACTTGAGGCCATTCAACAGAAAGGCAGGATAGAAATGTTTTAGTAAATCAATCAATAGATGCCCCAGTGATTCCGGTGGGGTTGTTCCAACGTTGTGCTTAGAAACAGACCTTTAGACTTTTCTGATAGAAATAAAAAATGTATCAGACTGTCCAAGACATTTGTCTTTTCTTTTTTTACAAAAAACTATCACTCATTGCAAGTTTAAATTGCCTCCAGTATTAATATATTGTGCATGCATATGCACGCAGTTTCAGAGACTAAAACTTTCAGTGTGCTGTGTATATGTAATACACACACACATAAAAAACATACATATTGGTACACTGCTGCTCCCTACAGGACAAAGTGTTAAACAGGCCTCTCCCGTTCTCATCCATTACGTTTTAAATATTTTTGTTTTATTTTATAATTACTAGAAATACTAAACTGGGTAAGCTTAAGGGTGTGATACAGCACAAGCTAAGTCTTGCAAAATGACTGGAGCTTCATTTATAGTTGTCTGTATTCAATCTAGCAGATAAATATTGGAAACAAGAAAAATACTAACGCTGGATGAACGGATAGTTTTAATAATCCTATTTTTATCTAGACGAGCAAATTCCGCTGCGGTAACTTCCATGCACCGTGCTGAAATCCCAGCGATGTGCACGCTAAAGAGCGCTCAAACCCACTCTGTACATGCTCAATGGCATGCTCAAATATTTACTACTAGTCACGCTCGGGCTGAGCCAACAAAGCCCTTGGGGAGCGTAAGCTTTGCACAAATTAAGCCAAACTGAGCCGCCTTCCTTGTTTACTAGCCAATAGCAAGCTGGGCAGCTGCGCCCACAACAAACAGGCTCGGCAGATCACAGAAGGTGGGGACGCTTCGCCCCTCCGAAGGGCTCCCCCCCCCACCGCCCCTCTGCTTCAGAACTACAACTCCCAGGATGCCTCGCGGGACCCTGAAATGGCGTCCCTTCCGCCCGGGAAGGGAAGGCAGAGCAGGGCCCGGGCCGCCTGGGGAGAGGCGGGGTTGGCCTCGGAACGGAAGCGGGTTTCCCTGGCAGGCAGGCTGGCAGGCAGGTACTACAGGTCAGGCCGGCCGGCCGGGCCCGGTTCCGGGTGCCACTGACTTGGCGACGGAGGAGGCGGATGAGGAGGGGGGGGGAGGAGGAGGAGCAGCAGCAGCAGCAGCGCGGGAGGAGAGAAGATGGCGGCGGACCGGGAGACGGAGGTCCCGGCTATTGACAGGAGCTTGCTGGAGTGCTCTGCTGAGGAGACTGCCCTGGTGAGAGGCCTCGGGGGGGGGGGAGGGACGCCGAGGGAGGGGAGACCGAGGGGTTTGGCCGGCCGGCCCGGGGGTGGGCGTCCGACCCGGGCGTTATGAGGCCCGGCAAGGCTGACAGGTGTGTGGGTTGGGACGAGGATAGGAGGAGGGAGGCTGTGAGGGGATGCTCGGGGCTGCGGGCGGAGAAAGAGGCGAGGGGCCGGAGAGGGTGGGTTGGGTTTTTTTTGGGGGGGGGGGAGTTAGAGTTTGTGGGGGTGGGCAGACACTCGCTCCCCAGCGATGGGGGGTGGGGGGAGCCACGTCCAGTGAAGGGGACACGCAGGTTGACACGCAAAAGAAGAAGGAGGGAGTTGAGAAGACAAAGCTCGGCGAGCAAAAAAAGAAAGGGGGTGTTGCGCGTGACAAAAGGTTTTATTGCCTAGCGGGGAAGGCGGGAGGGTCTTCGCTGCTTGGCGTCGGGAAAACGGGGAGGGGCGGGAGGGGGAAAGCAAGTTTCCCAAACAAAAATGGTCTGCGAAGTTAGGCAAGGAGTTGTGCCGCAGTGCTACTACCGAGAGAGCCCTGGGGTTGATTTTTTCCCTTGATGCCTCTGTGCTGCTCCAAAGAGCAAAGCGGCGGGTCTTCTGGGTCGGGGGGAAAGGGTCGTGTGAAAGACCCTGCCAGGTTGTCGCGGCGAAAGGGGGCAAGAGCGGTGACCCCTCTGTAAGCAGGATCGGTTGCATGCTGACTTAACAGAGAAACGAGTCCGTGGTAAGTTACGGACTTGATTCGAGGGAGCACAAGTCAGCGGGGTTAAACCAAACTGCGATCTGAAGTGCGCTCCTTTTTTATTTTTATTTTTATTTTTTTGGGCTGCTTTTTCTTTTCCAAGGCTATTGGGAATGGATTCCTTCCTGCAATAAATTTTGGGATTGATCTCTTCGACTTGTATTTAATTTGTAAACAGAGCTTCTGGTACCAGTCATAAATAGGCTATGGTGGTTGACATTAAAATATTGCATATTCGGTGGCTTCGCACTTTCCCTCCTCGTCTCTAAGTTTAAAGTCATAATGGGAAATGGCAGGTGTTCTCCCATCTAAACCACTTCCTCACAAGCCTCTGTGTCTGTAGCGTTGTTGAGGGTATAATTGAAGAGTCTTAAGGGGAGGTCATTTCTATCTCTTTGGGGAATACTGTATTCTTTCTAGTTGCCCCTTAAACAGAACTCATGTTTTTTTTAAAATAGCTCTGAAATTGTTCATCTGACCCATCTTTTAGTTCATATGAGCAGCTCTGGGAAGCAGAGAACAATTCCTTCCAGTCAAATAAGTTGCCAGACTTTAAAACTTTTAACACTCCAATAATACATGAGCAGCCTAGTAAAAATTTGCAGTTCCCTGCAAGGTTGGAGAATGTATAGTTTGATGGAGTGTCATGGTGTAACTTTCTATAGATGGATATGGAGTTAAGTTTTGACATCATTGTGTTCCTTTTGTGTGTTTCGTAAAATATAAGATGAATTAGATGTCACAAGTAAAAAAATGTTCTAACAGCCTGTTCATTTTAGCACCTCATATGACCAGAATTCTCTTCTAACATGTTAATACTTATAATTTTATAACTGAGCTCCTGACTTCTGTTACCAAGTAAAAAACTTTCCTCCCAGGACTGAATTTTAGCTTTTTTTGTTGAAGTCTTGATACCTTTTCATAGTACTCTCTTGACTCCCAGAAATGTATTATCATAATTGTTGTTACTTTATGTTTATATGTTAAGCTCAATAAATTCACAATTGAGCTCAGTAGCATCCTGACATAATCTTTATATTTAGACATTTTGAATCTAGTGCTTGCAGATTTGGTTCTTCCCATACCCACAACCGTTTGCAGGATTGACACATAGAATTGTGGAATTGGAATCTGTTGCCCATTGTGCGGCCTTTAGCAATATGGAGTGTTTTATAGTCCTCATAGTAGCTATCAGTAACATGTTAAATAAAAGTTTTTAATTATTTAATAGATTGGTATAGAAAATTGAATCTTGTTTGTATGTCTAGCTCTCTTTTTCTCCTGTGGAGATTTGAATTTTTGTAGGGAACTTGTGGTAACAGTTGCATTTTCTTTTTCTGTGAACAAACAATGTTCTTATCTTTTGTATCTTGCACCCTATTTTTAAAACAAAGGAAAGTATATCTTGTACAGTAGAAGGCAAACTTGTAGCCGAGACACTCCTGTGTAGTCACCAAAGACGTCTAATATTCAGTTGTGTTTAACTTTTCTAATGTTATCACAAACTATGCTTATGGAATTGTTAAAATTAAATGTTTTATATCTTTTAAAAATATATAATTTATGTGACTAGTTTATTATGATTAAAGGTTCTCTGAGTATACTATACATAGAATTAAAACCTAGAAAGAATATAAATAGAAGGTGGCTTCAGTTTTTATTTGAAATTATAAATTATTTGCATTTGAAAAATACAAGTGTTTTATCTTAGGATTTTTGCAGATACAAGATGTTTAAATATCATCAATAAACATTATTATGGCAGTAATCCTTTTGAAATAAATAGTAAGAACTAATAGATGCATGTTTTAATAGATGATTTTCTGCTGTTGTAAAAGCAGTAGGTGGTTCATTTGTTTTCAGCCCACTGATTAGTAATGACAAAAATAGCATTTTTAACCATTAATGACATTGACAACCTTATTTACATATTCTGTGTATTTACTGTAAATGATACTTTAAATCTATTTCATTTAAGGTTGTTTCTTAAACAAAGTGATTGTTTTTTTAAAATCTAAAATCAATGGAAGATCAAGTTGTTGAAAGTGATTAACACTGTTGGGTGTTGAGGTTAACAATAATTGCACTGCTGCATTTTTAGTTGTGCTTTTATGTTAGTTTTTCCGCTAAGAGGAATTAGAAAGTGGACAAGGTTCTACCAAGAAAACATTGGCTTGGATTCAGTTTAGCACTAAGTAACAAAGATTAACACTTGTGCTGTTACTTGGCACTATATTAGATGAAAGCCGTGATTCAGATTGTTTAATTCAGACTCTTTAATTCTGGCTAAAATAATTTACATGCAAAAGTTGATAAGTTTGTATCATTACAGCCTGACCTATCCACAAGCACATTTATACAAATTATATGGCAACTCCTTGGCTTCTGCTTTGAGTTCACTTAAAAGTGCTATACAACTTCATCAGTAAATAAATCAGATGATTTGACTGACGTATCAAGCTTTCCAAGCTAGGGTTTTCCCCCTTATTATTTGTGTACTTTATGCATAATAATAATAATAATAATAATAATAAATTATTTATACCTCGCCCCTCCCCGGCCAGAACCAGGTTCTGCATTCTGAATAGGTTATCACGTCAAAATATTTCCAGAAAATAACTGAAGTATTGGATGGAGCTGTGAAAACCTATGTTCTTTATTATTAATTATATTTGTTAGTCGCCTTTTGCAAAAAAAGTCTCAAAGCTAGATAAAATACAAACAGATAAAATCAAATAGAAACCAGAATGTTTAAAATGACATACAGTATAAAATTCCTAAAATGCTCATCAGCATTACAATAAAAAGGATGAGACCTGCCCATTGCCAAAAATGAGCCCCAAAGAAGAAGCTAGTTTTGCTACCAGCATGTCTAAATATTAGGTTAAATTTTGGAAATGGCAAGGTTCACTCTGTATAATGTTTGGTAATTCCAGGATGAAAGTAATAGGAATTGCCCATCACCTTTGTGCCCTGGGCTTGTGAAGTTTGAGAAGAATTTGGATGGTTTCTGGTAAGAAAGAGATGCTAGACTAGCTGGATCTTGTCTTGATCCAGCAAAACAATTCTTACGCTCTCTTTGTTAAGGCTCAGTGGTGGGTGTACCAAATTATTTCATTCCTTTACCGCTGAAAAATATCAGAGCTAATCAGGAAGAGCTTTCAGAATAACTTTCATACATTTCTGTCAGAAGACAGTTGGATCCTTCCTGCATTGGTATGGTTGCTTGTTGGGGAATACTCCCTTGAACCTCCTCCCCTATTTCAGGTTGATCACAGTTGTGCGGTGCCACTTAACATTTTTTTTCCCCTCATGCAGGCACAGCATAAATGTCAAGCGTGGCAAGTGAGGTTACTTCAGGCCAGGCATACTGAAGTTGAATCACTTTGTGTTCCTGGCATGCCTTGAAAACCCACTTGCTTATTCTTTGTTTTTTAATGACTGTAGTTTTAAAAGAAAAGCAGTGATATAATGGGCTTTGAAGCCATGTCTTCTGATTAACACTAAAAAAAAAAAAACCTTTCAAGGCTTCCATTCCTTCACCTTGGCTCTCTTCCACCCCACCCCATACTAAATGTAACACCGTCAGCAGAATTCCATTGAAGAAAACTTTAAAAGCAGTAAAACTTTTAGAGTAAACAGGATTAATACTACAGATTGTGAAACTGTGCGACAAAAAGAACTTCATTGACTTCTCGTGGCTGTTGCCAAATGCAGGTTTTTTCCTGGGCAGTGCTCTTATCCAAAATGAGGTTGTTTACAAAGGTTTATGGGTTTATTTGTATGTAGTTGCACCTTTCTTTGAAAGCTTTTTGAAACTACCAATTTTGAGGCAACAGCCACTTTTCAAAGGGTCCTCCAGCTAGTTGTGCAGTTTGACTTTAGACTTGTAATTATTGTACATCTCTGTGTACGCATTGCCACATGGTAAACTACTTTGAAACTTGCAGCTTTTAAAAGGAAAAAAGTTGACAACTAATTGGTCATGGATATGCTCTTGGATATGCTCAAAGCATCTCTCTGGACTGTAGACGTTAAAATTGACTGTATTTTATATTGATAGTTGTGGAGATGTTATACTACATAGGAAAGTTCTACCACCACTGTAGTATTTTCATAAAGAAATATGCTGGAAAGCTATGAAATATTTTTTAGTTTGAGATGGTTGCTGATGACCTGAATGGGTTGGGTATTGTCTCTTATCATGTGACAGAGGCAGGAGAGCAAAGAACTTTGGGAGGCAGTGCTAATGTGTATTAACTTTTCCCCCCTTATAGAAGTGGCTGCAAGCACCTGATCTTCCAAAAGAAATATACAAGCACCTTGCCTACTATGTACCCAAAATTTACTGTAGGGGTCCTAATCCAGCCCCACAAAGCGAAGATTTGCTTGCGCAACAGGTTTTGCTGGGACCAATGGAATGGTACCTATGCGGTGAAGACCCTGCATTTGGCTTTCAGAAACTTGAGCAATCCAACAAACCTTCGCATCTTTGTGGCCGGGTGTTTAAAGTTGGCGAGCCTACATACTCTTGCAGGTAACTAGTCACTAGTCACTTCTTTTAAACTGTCAAGCCCCTTAACAGTTGAATGATTTGAGCTTTATTTATTTATTTATTTAAAACATTTTTAATACCACCACTCATTAAAAAATTGAGGGCAGTTTACAATAAAAGCAATCCAGTGAAAGCAGGTTCCCTGCCCAGGAGCTGTTGTAGTTGGCATACCAGTTAAAGTTGAAGAAAGGCAGCTACATGCTGCAGACGGTTGGGGCTGCGTGGAAGGTGGTGTGGGAGGTTGTAACTGGATGTAGGATTTTGGCAAAAAACGCCTCCTCCCCTTTTTCCGTTAGGTCCCAACTAGATCAGGCTACATACTCACGAGGGCACAATTTGATACCCTTGTTATATCTGATCTCTGGTTCCAAAGAACAGCAAAAACCCAACCTGTTTGGGTTATTTGTGGCTGCCATTTAGTACTTTTTAATTCTCTGCTTTCTGGGCAGGTAGTGGTTTTGAACTGCAGTTTTTGTTTCTCCATAGCTTTAGTCCTCATAGTTTCAAGTGTCATGAATCTTTGGAATTTCAGCAGCTCTTTCTCAAAATTGGGTGTCAGGATTGCAGGAGTTGTGGTGGGTTGTCCATACTTGAACACTATTTCCCCTCTCTCCCTCTCACATAAATGCGTAGGCTTGGGTCCCAACATACATACAGAACTTCCAGATTTAGCAACTTGTCAGCCTCCCCAGAGAAATATAGGGTTGTGTTCAACTAATTTTTACTGAAGAGTAGATTCATATAAATTAATGAACACAACTAAGTTGGGGCCATTAATTTGAATGGGTCTACTGTGGGGGGACTTCAACATAGCACTATGGGAGTTGTTCCATCAGTGCAAACATTTCAGCTTGTCAGAAGGAACAATCTCCCCTCTCCTCCCAATCACACACTGTTATAGCAGTTCTCCTCTAAGCCACCCATAATGAGCACCATTATAAAATTTAATCCTAATTTCTGTAGTTTTAAAAAAGCAATCAGAAAGACACATCCACATGCAAAAACATGACTTTTCACCACGGGTATAGGGCGATATATGATTTCAATAAATAACAACGACGACAACAACAACAACATAATATAATATTTCCATCTGCATAGAAGGTCCTAGGTTGTGTCCAATATACATTACAGGCTTTTTCTCAAGCAGTTGACAGTTCAATCCTATACAGATCTTCTCAGAAGTGTCCTATTGAATTCAGTGGCGCTTGTTTTTAGTTAAATATGTATAGAAGTTCATCCTAAACATTGTGTAGTTGGCCCTTTTATTAACATGTTTTTCTGCTCTCTTTTTTTGTCAGAGATTGTGCAGTTGATCCAACTTGCGTGCTTTGCATGGAATGTTTCCTGGGAAGTGTTCACAGAGAGCATCGATACAGGGTTAGTAAGCCTATATGTGATTTTAGTGATGTCTCATTCAGAATCAAATTTGTGACTTGGTCAAATCAAATGAGTGTATATTTTATCACACTTTTTCCCCCTGTTGCCTTTTCCTCTCCTCCCTCTCTCTTCCCCCGCTCCCCAATGCAAAAGTAGCATTACAAAAGCTATGAAATTCAGTATGTAGGAAGTACTCCCACTTGCCTAGGCAGCCCTGATGTTTTCACACAGATCAGTACTTTGAGTAACATTAAATGTTGCGGCTTTCAGAAACTAAAAGTTTGACTTTGAAGTTCATATCCTTAGATTATAGGTGTAAGTGTAGGTAGAAAGGCTTAATGAGAGTAATCACAGACAATAAATGAATGCGTCAATCAGTTATGACACAGCAGCTGCCTTATTGCTCACAAATAACTCAGCACTGTTATTTAAAAGAAGAAAACAGCATCTTGAGTATATCCCTTTATCACTGAACATATGATGCACTAAAGGCTGAAATTAACAAATAAATAGGTATTTTGGCTGCAATCCTATGGTCCCAGACAGGGCATCCTAGGGACCATAGGATGTTTCCGTTCCCCCTGTGAGGGTGAAGGCAGTGATCCAAACTCATGGGAGATCTGAACTAGTTTGCCCCCTTCCAAGCTGTCACAGGAACCTCTACAGCCCTATCTTACCAACTTTGAGCTCTGAAACCAGTAGATGCTACAGAGATGGGTCAGTGTTCCCACTCCCTTGACACCCCTTCCACACACACACACACCCCAAAAGCAGAGGGAATTAATACGACAACCCAGGAGCCGGCTCATGTTCCTTCCTATTGGAAACAATAGGAGATAAATCATTTTTGAAAAAACAGAAATGGGACAGGTAATATGGTGCTTCTCTCTCTCTCTCAGCCTGAGGCCATGTGCCCAGTAGGGCTCTGGATTTGGTGGTTTGTTGATCTTCAGTCCCCCCGGCCCAACTTTTGGATTTCTTTCCCCTTTACAGAAATTATCAGGGGTCTGCAAATGTTAATTCCTACTAATCAGCTTTGATAATCCAGTTTTGATGGCACAACAATGCAGATACGTTATTTATGTTATCATGTTTGTTTTTCTAAGAATGGTTTATGCCCTTTGCCCATGCCCCAGGGCAGCTTACAACAAAGTTAAATGAGGTAAAAAAAAATCTATGAAACAAAACAAGTCCTTAAAACACCACACCACTGATAGTCTGAAGTTATGTAGCTCAGTCTTTGTATACTATAGGTTGAATTATTTTTATTTACTTTGAACCTGAAATTAATCCCATAGCTTTCGTCAGGCATTTTACCCCTTTCAGATTTTGTTTCTCTACACTGCCACCCCATAATATGCTTCATACAAGTTCACATGTTAAACATAATAAATTGCACACTTAAAGTAAGGGAAAGGCTTCACTCTCCATTCCCCTGGCCTTATCTTTAAGTTGGACCTGTTTTTGCTCTGATTGCTTAACATAGATTATAGACTCATAGAATCGGCGTTGGAAGGGATCCCAAGGGTCATCTAGTCCAACCTGCTGCAAATGCAGGAATCCTGCCCACAGCTGACCCTGGGTGGGCTTGAACTACCAACCTTCTGGTTAACAGCCAGATGCACTGTCTCATTAGAATAGCTGCTAACTGAAGAAGAATAGGATAAGATAGTCCTTATCTTGTTATCGCTTAATTCACTTGCTGGAGCAGGGGGAAACTTTCTGTAATTTATTTGGGATGCGCATTTCTTGAAGTATGTAAGTTAGCAGAACTAATAATCATAAGGCCAACCAGTCAGTATTTTCCATAATCTAACCTAAAATTGGAACTGGTTTAAGTGAGTCATGCAATAGACTCAAGTGACTCTTGTTCTTTTATTCTATACAATAATTCCTATAATGTATGATTCTAAGATCATGTCTGCTGATTTGTCTGTATGACCTCATATTTTAGAACAATAGTAGGATCTTCTCCTGTAGGCATTTTATCACGAGTAGAGGCTTGAGCTGGAACAGAATCTATTGAATCCTTGTTCATAAAAAAGCAGGCAGGACAGACCTGGAGAATACGCCCTGCTTAGCTCTAAAAGCAAGGAGAATTCTGCTTGCTATAGCTCATATCATTGATTTACCCTTAGTTTGAAAGGTAATAATGACTTTCCTTCCCCTCTGCCCTTTCATAAGACTTGCTGATCCTTTGGCACTGGGAGCAGCCAGCTGTCAGGGCTATTACTGGAAGATGGAGCCTTATTCTGGTGGTGAGCCCAAAGGACATTCCTGTAGTCTCTGCTCCATTGAGTATAGGATTTGTTATACAAAATTTTAAGCAGCCATTTAACTTAACATCACAAGGATTGAAAAACCACCACGAATCTCTAAATTGTCTCTCAGGTCTTCTTCACTGTGTCCCAGATTGCCAATCAGTTTTGGATAGAAAGCTTACCAGCCTGGGTTTTCATTTATGAAGCATACTTTCTTCTTCATATTTATTTTAAAATAATGCTGTAGATGACAACATCTGGTGGAGGAGGTTTCTGTGACTGTGGCGATACTGAAGCTTGGAAAGAAGGTCCATACTGCCAGAAGCATGAACATAACACTTCAGAAACAGAAGAAGAGGAGGTAAGGATACACAGGTTTTCAAAATTATTTTGTGCTGTTGCTCAGGTAACTCTGGTTTGGACAGAGAGCAAGATTTGAGAGCCCACTCTCTGGCCTAACTCTAGGCCACCCACATGACATCTTTGCTTCCTCCTGTACAAAGCAGGAGGGAATACATCAAGATTGTTATTTCAGTCAGGTGTGCTTTATTATGTTTTCTGTATTTAAGTATCTTGTTCTTCACTTCAGGAGCTTTTAACATTAAATGACTTTTTCTAGTCTTTCTAGCAGCCAGATCCCATAGACTAGGGCAGGCATAGGCAAACTCGGCCCTCCAGATGTTTTGAAACTACAATTCCCATCATCCCTGACCTCTGGTCCTGTTAGCTAGAGATGATGGGAGTTGTAGTCCCAAAACATCTGGAGGACCAAGTTTGCCTATGCCTGGACTAGGGTGTAAGAATTTTCAAATAATTAACTTAGATTTGTTAAGCTTCTTTTAGCTGTAGGGGAAATGTTAGAAATTATTACCTCGATGTTAACACTTTCCTCCTTTTTTCATTTTAGGATCCTCTTGTGCATTTGACAGAAGATATGATAGCAAAAGTTTACAATATTTTTGCTATCATGTTTCAGTATGCTGTAGATATTTTAACATGGGAAAAAGAAAACGATTTACCACCTGGTTTAGAGACAGTGTAAGTAAAATTGCTGTTTGAACTTCCAAGACTGGCACAGTTTTTAATGGAAAAATGTTAGCTGCATCTTAATTCATAAATGACGTTGTGTGCCGCCTAAAAAGAGTTGCCACTGGTTTAGTCCCATTGAAATAAGTGTGACACACATTTACATCACATCAGTTTCAGCGGGTCTTCAATGTGATCAGTTTTCTATGGATCGCACTCAGTGGATATATCTTACTTGAGAGTAAATGCTATTGTGCTCAGTGGGACATAGCTTTAACTAAACATGCTTAAAATAGCTGTTCCTTGAGGCTAAAAGGGAAATGTTTTTAATACACTTCTCTAAAGAATTATATTGATTTTTTCTTATTGAAAAGTCTGTTCTCTCTCCCTCTCCTCCTTTATTTACCAAAGAAATTAGTGGTTGGGGTTTTTTTTGTAGAATAATGCTTCTTGCCAATAGTATCTAATGCAATTTGGCACCGCTATAGTAAGCTAATGTCATTGAAAATAGTGATAGGATCCAGCATATCCCATAGGATAATATAATAACTTGGATCCAGAGAACATAAAACAGAACTCCACCTGTGCAGTAGGATGTTCCTCACTACAACTCCCTCTGCCCCTCCCCAAGTTGCTCCTGAAGCTTGGTAGTCCCTGCGGGATGGTCCACAGAGGGTCAGTTGGATTGGGAAATTAGAGGAATTTGGCAAGGCTGTCATGTACAAGCAGAAGTAGTTTTCCACTCACGCAAGGCACGGTAGTAAAATTAATCACAAGAGCCCTCCATCTTCCTATTGCTGATTCAGTATGTTTCCTTAATAGAGATTCCAGTAAATAGAAGTATTGAAATGCTAGAGAAAATACCTTGATTGATTTAAATTAATTATGTTCCTTATTCGTAATACTGTCTTTACAGTGAGAAGACGGATACTTACTTCTGCATGCTTTTTAATGATGAAGTTCACACATACGAACAGGTTATTTACACTCTTCAAAAAGCTGTCAATTGCACACAAAAGGAAGCCATTGGTTTCGCAACAACTGTAGACAGAGATGTAAGTAAGCTCTTTAGACTTCCATTGAAATATTGGATAAAAATGATTAAGCTTGGTCAGTTTAAGAGGATTTAGTCCTGTAGCTCTTTCCATATTTCCTTCCTGCTAGCTGATCAACCATTTACCTTATTTGGAGGAATAGAAGGAGCTAGGCAATTTCCAAAGCAACACTAGAGCATAGTTCATTAGTTCATTCCTTGATTATACTTGCTGCAATTGGCCCTCTTGGCAGGAGCATACTTGATAACATACAGTTTTGCACCCCCACCTCCACTTTGCAAATCATGCTGTGAAAGTTGGGACACTTCCTTCCTGGATGCCTTCCCAACCTGAGATTCTTTGGCAATGCTTTTGCAAGTTAACTTCACAGTGAGTCTCTGGGAAAGCACTTTTTAAAATTTGAGAAAACCTCCTCTCTTCTTACACCATCCACCAAGAAAATATATTTTAGCCAGTCTTTTCTAATGTAACATAGAGGCAAAACCTGTAAAAACAAAGTGAGGCTCTCTCCAATCTTTGTAGCACTGAATATTTTACAAGCAACATGCTCACTCTGAGGCTGAAAATTCATTATGGAGGGTGTGCGGCTGCTGCTGAAATCAGAAAAAAAATAAAATAAAAAAGACCGGCCAGAGGGAAAGCACTAGCACAGGACACAAAAAAGAGCAAATCTCAAAATTATGCACAAGAATCAGTGAGTTTATTGCTCACAAATGTGTTTTGGATCAATAAACTCTTTCTTAAGGGTTATTCAACCATTTCCCTCTCATGCAATAATCAGACTACATGTAAGATGGCTTAATCGGTTTTTTTGAAGGGTGGGGGAAAACACACCCTATGGTTGTATCTTAAATATGTCCCTGCATTCACAGAGGCTCTTGGCTCCAACGTAAACCTCCTCTCTCCCCCCTTCCAGTTATGGCAGCCTCTGCTGGAGTGTAGCTTAGGATAAGTATTTAACCCATGAAACTCAACTAGAACAAAAATGGGCCTCAGTCTAATTCAGGGGCAGGAAACTGGATTTGCCTGTCTATAGCCCTGGTTAGCCATAACCACCCAGAGTGATGTGATATCATAGCACGTATGCTTCTCTCTCTCTCTTAGAAAAACCCCTTTTATTTATTTGTTTCTTTAAATAAATCCCAGCTCAAAACATAATTTAAGGTACCGTATTTTTCGCTCTATAAGACACACCTAGTTTTAGAGGGGGAGAACAAGAAAAAAAATATTCTTCCCCTCTCTGCGCAGCGCCCCTTCAGCCCCTTCCGTTTCTCCTCCTGCTTCACTGAAGGGGCGCTGCGCAGATAGGGAAAGCTGCGCAGCGCCTCTCCAGCAAAGCGAAGCCAGGAGAGCAAGGGGGATTGGTGCGCACCGATCCCTCTTGCTCTCCTGGCTTCAGGGATAGCCGCCTGAAGCCTCTGGAGCGCAGTGGGAGCTCCCGCTACGCTCTGGGGGCTTCGCCTTGCTTTCCCTGAAGCCATGGAGCCTGCATGCGCTCCATAAGACGCACACACATTTCCCCTTACTTTTTAGGAGAGGAAAAGTGCGTCTTATAGAGCAAAAAAATACGGTATATATTTATTATATGATTGTGGATCTTTCAGAATTGCTGAGGAATTTAATAGTTTTGTTTGCTTTTTCATAGGTGATATTTGCTATATCAGCAATAAATGCAATTTACATGATAAACATATGTGAAGCATATATACATACTGCTTACTTAAACTGAATATATGACATTTTAATTTATGTTAAATATATTTAACATAAGCTTAATTGTGTTAATATGTGCTATTTAGCAGAAGTCATTGTTGGTATAGGGTTGATTTAATTCAAGCAGTCTAATTCAAGGATTAGAAACGTAGGTGACTTCAATGTGCAATCAAAACATATTATTTAGTTTTAGTTATATCTTTAATTAGCTATTAATAGCCATGTAACTGTTTAACAGGGACGCAGGTCAGTTCGCTATGGAGACTTTCAGTACTGTGAGCAAGCCAAATCAGTGATAGTGGTAAGTGACATTGCTTCATTTCCCTTAACTGAATGGTATATATCCTTACTTCATTATAATCAATTCACTGTTATAGCATATCTGCCCATTAACATTTTAAAACTGTATGTGACATTTTAAGAACGTTAAGGAAATGTTAAATGTGTTTGATGGAAGTGGCAGCATGCCTTGTAAGTCACTTGCCTGATGGTTCTATCATTCTTCAAAAACTAAAAATTGGCACATTCTACTTTAAAATTGTGGTAACCTCCAGATTAGATTACAGCAATGTATTATACATGGAGTTGCCTTTGAAGACTGGAAACTAAATATAATTCAGAGTATAATTGCTGGACTATTAAGTGGGTATTGGGTATTGGGATGACAGCTCACAAGTGCTTAAAGTGTTGAATTGGCTCCCAGTCATATTTCCAGGCAAAGTTCAAAGTGCTGGTGCTTTCCTTCAAATTGCTATACTGTTTGTGAGTAAAGATGCATAGGATTGAAAGGGAAAATGTATATTTTCAGCTCAAGTCTTCCCTAAGATTCTGGGGGTCTAATGAAGAAACCCCCAGTCCAACCTGTATGACTCGTGCTAAGAAGCAAAGTTCAGCAGATACATCTACTGGATCAAAAATTGTATTCAAAAGAGCGTAGCCATAATGTTTCTCTGCAGTCATCACTGAATTACTTGCACAATGTCCAAAACTAGACTGGGACCTGCATTGTGATGAATAGATACTTGGCACTTTTGGCCTTGACTGTGTCATTTAATTGCATGATGGGATTGAAGACTGAAATCTTTTGTTGGGAAAGAAGCCTTGAACTCATGGCTCCCCATGCCTATCAGACAAGTCATGTGCTCTCCATCTGCAGTTACAGATAGTTGGAAGCCCTTTGCTGTAGTGATATCTGTCAGAGCCAGAAAGGGTAAGGGAAGTTGAACCTACATGTGGTGATGAACTAATTTCAATTATTCCTAAGGCTGTTTGCCTTCAGTATTAGAAACAGAATTCAAGTTTTACCATTCTTGCATTACAAAGTGTAGACATATAGTACTAGATATTGGGAAAGCTTGTAAAAACCATGAAAATCCAATTGCCTGGGATTGTTCTATGTCTTAACTGTACAAACTTGAAAAGTGCTGTGTTTGGGGCAAAACCTGTTAATGGCTTCTCTTTTCCCTGCCCCTTTTCCTTTCCTTAAGAGAAGTACCAGTCGCCAGACTAAGCCATTGAAGGTTCAAGTTATGCATTCATCTATTGTTGCCCATCAGAGTTTTGGTTTGAAGCTTCTAACTTGGCTTGGCAATATTATTGGATATTCAGGTACTGAAATTTGACACACTTATGATATAGCTGAAAGAGAAAAGCCATGATTGAAAAGCAGAAAATTCCTCTTTCTAGGGACAGAATGATAGACTGACATGGTCTTGTGGATATGGTACAAACATAACAAAAATATATGTGTTCAGGCTTATTGGTTCAGTTTACTTAAAGCATGAGGACGAAGCTACTTGTGATGCGGAAAGTCCCTGAAAGAATCTCCCAACATTCTTTTCGTTTCCTAAAATCGGCCACAAGGGCACTTGAAGTAGGGAGAGTTTTATATTTCTCCCATGCCATTTCCTGACTGCAAGTCATCCCTATCCCTGAGCAATTTCAGGTCCCACTTGTCTGCTTTCTAAATACGATTCTCCTCTAATGACCTTACATCACTTAAGCTTTCTATGTTGGAGACAGCCTATTCTGCAAGATCATGCATATCTGTAGTAAATACAAAATAAAGATGAATGCCTTCTATTTTAAGAATGTGCATGTTGGAGATGTAAATGTCTTACATACAACTGAGTTTTATGCACAAAACGGATGATTAAAGCAAACCAGTTAATCCTTTTGGTTCACGTATTACTGTTTCTCCTTAATTAGATGGCCTTCGAAGAATATTGTGTCAAGTTGGCTTACTGGAGGGACCAGAAGGAGAAAACTCTTCTCTTGTGGATAAACTCATGCTGTCCGATTCTAAACTCTGGAAAGGTGGGCTATTCCTTCTTGTTTTAAGAATCTACCTGCACCACAGTCCGGTTGCTGGGAACGCATCTTCTTTCACACAGCTAAAGCAGCCTAGATAAATCAGAGCAAAAAGCAGCTGTGATGAGAGGGATGGGCACAGACCTAAGGTGCTCAGATACGAAATTCATATATCTTAGTTTACTCCTGGTTTACTTCAGTCTTGGTGGAAGGCACTGTCAAGAGGAAAGTGCTGCTCAGGATATCATAAGAAGCAAGGCTAGAAGTAGTGAGGCATTGATCCCTGCCAAGCTCAGATCTAAGCCAAACAAGCATCTACACATCCAAACATCTGGAGCAGCAGAGCTGTAGACTCTGGGCACTTCTTAATGCTGTGCCACGTCTTTCTATGCTTCCTGTGCTCTACTGTGCAAGGCTTCCCCCTTTTGGACACCTTCCCACATGGCTGGTGTAAGATGCTACTGCTGCATAACAACAACAACAAATTGATTGATTGATTATTATTTATAACCCACCCATCTGGCTGGTTGGGTTTCCCCAACCACTCTGGGCGGCTCCCAACAGAATGTTAAAAACAAGATAACTTGTTATCTTGATATCTGAAGAAGTGTGCATGCACACGAAAGCTTATACCAAGAACAAACTTAGTTGGTCTCTAAGGTGCTACTGGACAAATATATATATATATATTTATATGTAGACTGCGTCAGACCAACACGGCTACCTACCTGAATCTAAAGCAAGATAAAACATCAATCCTTAAAAACTTCCCTAAACAGGGCTGCCTTCAGATGTATTCTAAAAGTCAGATAGTTGTTTATTTCCTTGACATCTGAAGGGAGGGCATTCCACAGGGCGGTTGCCACTACCGAGAAGGCCCTCTGCCTGGTTCCCTGTAACCTCACTTCTCGCAGTGAGGGAACCACCAGAAGGCCCTTGGAGTTGCTTTTTTGGTAAAACAAGTCTTTTAAGGCTGCAATCCTAAACACACTTAATAGGGAATAAGCCCCACTCAAGTTGTTAGGACACCTTGTCTTCATGACAACTTAACAAAATGATTTAACTATTTCAGTCCTACATCAGCACATTGTCAAAACTTCATGATTGCTCTAAAGTTATTTGGATGATGCTGTCATATAATAGTCCTCCACGTTGATATGTATCTTTCTTTTTTTGAACAACAACAACAGGAGCTAGAAGTGTGTACCATCAGTTATTCATGAGCAGCCTACTTATGGATTTGAAGTACAAGAAGCTCTTTGCTATCCGATTTGCAAGGGTGAGTAACTTTCCTAATGAAAAATACTTTAGAATGCAAAGTCTGACTTTTCAGGTATTATTATTATTATTATTTATTACTTACACCCTGCCCACCTGGCTGGGTTTCCCAACAGCTCCCAAAAGAAAATTAAAAGCACAATAACACATCAAACATTAAAAACTTCCCTAAACAGGGCTGCCTTCAGATGTCTTCTAAAAGTAAGATAGTTGTTTATTTCCTTGACATCTGATGGGAGGGCGTTCCACAGGGTGGGCGCCACTACCGAGAAGGCCCTCTGCCTAGTTCCCTGTAACCTCAATTCTTTCAGTAAGGGAACCGCCAGAAGGCCCTCAGCGCTGGACCTCAGTGTCTGGGCTGAACGATGGGGGTGGAGACACTCCTTCAGATATACTGGGTTTAGGCTGTTTAGGGTTTTAAAGGTCAGCACCACATAGTGGAACACATAGATTGTTACACTAAAACAGGCAAACTTGGCCCTCCAGCTGTTTTGGGACTACAGTTCCCATCATCCCTGACCACTGGTCCTGTTAGCTGGGGATGATGGGAGTTGTAGTCCCAAAACAGCTGGAGGGCCAAGTTTGGCCATTCCTGCACTAAATAGTAACAACCTGGTGCCAAAGGCTCCTTATGCCTTTTGGAGTTCTGGGTTGTACATGGTATTCCTGCATGAAAAAGGACTGCCTGATGACTTGATGTTTGGGCACATCTGCATGTACTGTTTAGATGCATGCACAAAGCTGGCCTCAATATTAAAGTCAATGTGGAAGCTTTGGATCACAGCCTAAATGTGGAAATGTATATTCCTATGTGATCTGGATGGCACATGTTACCACTTTTGCTGGATGTGCCTAACAATCCAAATAAAAAAGCAGTTAACCAAGGTTAAGCCAGGCGTAATGGTGAACTCTGGCTTAATACAAGCCAGAATCATTGTGCTGAAACTGGCAAATGGCTTGGGGAGGGGGAGGGAGGAGCTCTCATTCCTAGCTAACTGTGGTTTATGAAGCCTGAAAGATCGTCTGAAGAGGGCTGTTGTGTTGTGGAATGAAGTCAGCGTCATTTTCGAATAACTTGGAGTAGTTAACCATGTAATCTGAAAAATAAGAATTATTCTTATATATTGCCCTGCTTCCCAAATATGACCTCTAAATATTGGCTAAACCCAATAGCATTTCCTTATGACAACCTCTAATTGACTTCCTTTTGCTTGACACAAGTAACTGTTGCTATAACTGTGCTTATTAATGGTCTGGTAAATTGTGATGATACTGCAAGTTTGTTTGCACTGTTTCTGCACAAATGCAGTTTTTAGTACAAAATCTTCCCATCGCCAGCTTTAAATTTAGTTAGAACATCTGGTCAGTGCAGATTAGAGGTGAATTTCCCCCTTGTTGTTTAGAATTATCGGCAGTTGCAGAGAGATTTTATGGAGGATGATCACGAGCGGCCAGTGTCGGTGACTGCTCTCTCTGTTCAGCTCTTCACTGTGCCTACTCTGGTGAGTAGTGGTTCCTTTTTTTAAACTGATAGTTGGCACCCTTTGCCTTTTTTGCCTCCTTCTTTATTAGAATTATGAGCGATTGCAGAATGATTATGTGAAAGATGACCACGACAGAGAATACTCAATTGTTGACCTTTCGGTACAGATATTCACAGTGCCTTCACTTGTAAGTACTTAAATGCTGACTGCAACTCTCTTTGCCCCAACTCCCGCTCAGATCTAACATTAATAATTTGTTATTGTTTTATACACAGGTAATCGGTCTTGCATAGTTTCATGGATAAAATACAGATCTCTACCCACAAGGAGATTACAGCCCAAAATAGGCAATGGAGGAAAGAACAGAGGGGAGGGGAAAGAGATTCCCTACTAGTTCTTCTGTGATAGTATTAGATCACTCATTTATGTTAAATTAATAGCTAGAGAATAATAGTTTCATAGATGAATTCCTGTCCCCAGAGGATGCGTGCTTTAAGGAATGGGCAAGACAATAGGTTGGTGCTTTGGTGTACTTTTAATTCATACAAATATTTTCGGTTGAGAACTTCAGTGACAGGTATGGCTGCAACAGTTTCTCCTTTTAGTAATGTACCAAGCAATTAGAAATTTTAACATAATGAATTAATATACATGAAACATGCTTGTGTTGGAGGCATTTGGCAATAATAGGGAATATGATCTGACACTCTTTGAGACACATGTTAATGTCCTTTTTATATTTCAACTCTGTATCTCAATCCAGTGAGGAAGTGGAATTGAATGAGGCAAAATTAGTTGTGCAAAGATCTCTGTATACCTGTAGGGCTCCAGTGCTAGGCTTTTGAAATTGGATTAGGGTTACAGTGCCATAGAAATGACATAATTATGGGTGTAGCTATTTAAGGTGACTGCTTGAAAATTTCCAGTGAAGATTATAAAGTGCTGAACATAGTATGAAGAAAATGTACTCCTTTTAATGAGAAAAGTACCAAATTATCGCTGTTAACTGATTCAGATATGTTAGACTGAATAAATATGGGTAATGTTTTGATGTAAGGTTAAAGTCAACAGTTTATTTTGGCTCAGTTACTGAAACATTTTTTTTCTTGGAAAAGATCCTGTGTACATCTTGGCTGAGATGTAAATAGATTGTTATATTGCCCAAATTGGGTACCTTTTTACAGATCTGATTAAAACCAAGTGATGAAAAGCAGGTTATAGAGATTTAGAACAAAAAATCATGCCAATTAGTACTTTTATGACTCATGAGCGATAGACAAAGCCCTGTCAGTCATTAAAAGTACAGTTCCTAGTTATAGACATGGAGTTGTAACTCTTTATTTTATCCTTCAAAGATCAGAGGATTATTAGGTGATCTCCCACCTAGTAACTGGCTTTCCTGCCCAGACTGCTTTTGCTACAGAAATAGGACTACCTTATATACACAGAAAAACCATACACCTGAGCCTTCTTCTGTTAGTTGAGTCTCTTATCTCTGTCATTAGCAGACATGATTGAAACAAACCTTTAAATATATATTTTGACATAGGCTCGAATGTTAATAATAGAAGAGAACCTCATGACTACTATCATCTCAACATTTATGGACCACTTAAGACATCGAGATATACAGGGCAGATTTCAGTTCGAACGGTACACTGCGCTACAGGCTTTCAAATTCAGACGAGTCCAAAGCCTGATTCTGGATTTAAAGTGAGTGTTTTATACCTAATCAGACAAAAATATTTTTACATGTATAGCCCAAAATCAGATTGAAAACTTATTTCTGCTGTACTTCAGGTACGTGTTGATTAGCAAACCAGTTGAGTGGTCTGATGATCTGAGGCAAAAATTTCTAGATGGTTTTGACGTCTTCTTGGAGTTACTGAAGTGTATGCAGGTAGGTGATTTCTTCTTTTTAAGGTACTTATATTTATCAAGGAATAACAAATGAGATGGTATAGGTGACTCTTCATATTACTGTTAAAATATTGCTAGGCTTTTGAAATCTATTTTTTACAGTTGCCCCAATTTCAGTAGAGCTAAATATTTCTACAGTTCCCTCTGTAGGCAGTCGCTAGGGAAGATTTACTGAGTCTCAGTACTGACCCTACCCTGTTGCTTTGATCCTTCTCTTCTAAATGATTTGGCTTTTTCCTATTTCTGAAGGGCATGGATCCAATAACCCGCCAAGTTGGGCAGCATATCGAAATGGAACCAGAGTGGGAAGCAGCATTCACGTTGCAGATGAAATTAACCCATGTCATCTCAATGATGCAGGACTGGTGTGCTTTAGATGTAAGTTGCATCTCCTTCAGATGTGTTCAGATTAATCTGAATGAATAAAATAGCTACATTTTCTTAAGGTTCTCATATATAAACAAACAACATGGTGTGCATCAGTGAAACCAAACTGCTTTAACAATTGGGATCGCCAACATTGTGCATGTTTTTCAGGTAATTATTATTGGAATAGACTAGATTGTAGACTTCATGTTGCAAAAGGAACTGAGGATTGGACTAGTACTTTATATCTCAAGGGGTAGAAGGAAGGGGGATATATATAAACATGAGAAGAATTATCTGTTGCCATCTTGGTTTGAACCATTTTTTTCCCTGTCCTTAATCTAAAAAGGAGGACTGATCATAACAATGCCCATAATTTTGCAGCTTCTCCTGTGAATAAGAAATGATAAAATACTTTGAATCTAGTTGCCTTTCTCTTTGGTCAGGACTTCCCACGCTCCACCTGACAAGATGAGGGCATAGGTGGCAAATACCCATATCTTGCAGATAGTTCCCCTTTTTGGGCTCAGAGCCCAGCACTTCAAGGATAACATCAAAGCGAGCCAATTAGCTTATATCAAAGCAAGTGAAAATAAACGCATATGATCTCATTGCTACAACCACTACCAATTAATTGTGGGGTTATCCTGACTACCAAGATGGCGTCTGCAGAGCTTCTGGAACAGTTCGCCTTTGGTTCAACACAATTACTTTTTTTTTAAGTGCACTGAGTATTGGTGTAAAGATGCATGCTAATGAAAGCTTTAATTTTAAGATCTATTTAGGACCTTTCTTTTCTCACTCTTTAGACTGAAGATTCTCTGAGTGGCTAATAATAGTTTAAACACCGAATAACTGAACTGTAACAACAGAAATAAACAGAGCGGCTGAAGTATCTCAGAACCAAGCCATACAATTTTCAAAGCATAAAAATTGAAATGGCCTGGGGGAATAAAAAAGGGAGCATTCCAAAGTTAGGTTACCACAACTGAAAGGATTCTGTCTCGGGTTGCCACCTTCCTTCCTTAGCTCCTGTGGGTGGGGAACATGAAGAAGGGCTTCTGAGGAGGATCTTAATATCAATTGCCCTAGTCCAAAACCATTTAGGGTTTTAGATTGGTGGTATGGAAAGGAAAATTGATAAAATACAAGATTCCCTTCTGCAAGCAAAACGCCTCTTTCACATGTGGAAAGGCTTCTTTTAAACTTAGTGGAAGAGCATTTTATGCACGAAATGAACTGAAATACACAGATGTTTTTCTGCTTGCAACGGTTTACACAATACCCCATGTTTGAAATGTAGTTCCATAATCCCTTTGCTTACTATTACACAGCTCCAGATACCTTTTCATGTAACATCTTCACAGAATTATTCTGAGTAAACTCATTCCACACATCATACTCTTTTGTATTCAACCAAATAAGCTGGGGCTAGGTTTTATCTTGGTACATCCTTAACGTGTATATTTTAATAATAAATAGTGCTGTAACTTTATGTAGATGAGCCGTGTTTTCTTTGAATAGATTCAATCTTTTTTATAGGAGAAAGTGCTTATTGAAGCATATAAGAAAAGTTTGACCACATTGATGCAATGCCACAGCGGTTTTACTGATGGAGAGCAACCGATTGACCTCAACATGTGTGGACACTCAGTTGAGACTATCAGATACTGTGTTTCTCAGGAAAAAGTTAGCATTCATCTCCCTGTTTCTCGTTTACTTGCAGGTAAGGACTACATATTTGGTTGGTTTTGTGCTGGATTGTTTTAAAGCAGTTTATACAAGCGCACTTGAAGATTAGATATTTTCCTAAACTCTCCCCTTTCATAAGAACTTGCATGAAAGTGGCCTCCCAGTTTTTCTCACAGGCCCATATAAGTTCAGCACAAACAGTTGTGCCTGGTGAGCATTTAAGGTCCCCAACCCTAATTTGCGGGTTGCCATCTGATTGGATTTTATTCTGATCCTGATCTGATTTGAGGATGTATTTTAATTGATTGTCTGATTTTATGTTAATGTGTTATACATTTGATGTTAGCCGCTCTGAGCCCGGCTTTGGCTGGGGAGGGCGGGATATAAATAAAATTTTTTATTATTATTATTATTATTATTATTATTATTTTATTATTATTTGTTTGCTGACTCCTGTCATCATGATTTCTCCATAGTCATATGAACTCTAGACCCCTTCTTTATTTATTTTTTTATATGCACTACAAGATTATGATATAAACCTGCAATCTGCATGAAACAACTTCATGATTGTAGATATTGCCAAACTCTACTATCACTAATATCTGCACAAGGTTACTTTTCATTTGGTGCATATTATCTTCAGAAATGAACCAGCTCGTGACAAATAAGTTAACTTGTATTATACCATTGGATTTGTTTGTTTGTTTCATTAATTAACAGGACTTGTATACTGCTCAACCATCAAAGCCTTTAACCAGTTTATATAAAATATAGATTAAAGATACTGATAAAACCAGATATTAAATATAAACTGACCTAAAAAAATCAATAATATAAATAAAGTATGACACACATATACAGTTACATATTAAAAGACATGTCAAATGTACAAATGTCAAAAGTTTTTAGCACAAGGTTGCCATTCATCTGGAATTTCCCAGACATAGCTGGAATATGGCAATTGGAAGCAGTGTCCGGGCGGAAATTGCTGAAAAGCCCTGGGAAATCCAGACGTATTGCAGCCCATGTCGGAAGTCTAGATTTTGGCGAATTTCCTTAAAAATAGCTCAAAAACATCATTTTTGTCCGGATTTCCACTTTTTGAAATATGGCAACCGTATTTTAGCAGGCAGCAAAAACAGAACCGTGAAGTTGCCTGCCCTATATCAATGGGCAGGGGGCTCCAGAATGTCGGTTCTGCCACACTGAGATTGATTTCTTTCATGTGTGGAATAAACATTATATGACACATCTAAGAGGCTGTTAAGTTTATGCCCCAACAGGTTCCATTGGTCTCCAAAGGTGGGCAATCCAAATGGGCTCACTAACAATAGCCTGACAATGACAAGGGGTTACCCCCGCATTAAATATTATTATCTGAAGTATAGCACAAAGACTTCCATTTGAGCAACAGTGCTTTCCCTCTCCCCCTTTTGGCTCTGTGGGGCTTTCAAGACCCTCCAGAACAACTTGTGGTAGGACGAGGGTGGGGTGACCACTCCAGAGCATGACTTTGAAGTCCTAGATGTCAGAGTTAGAAACTGCATTTCCTAGTAAAGCTCTAGTTCTTTTCAGCTTTGTTTGACAACCTCAGTAGGTCCCAGAGTGGCAAAAATTGCAAAAATATTCTTCCTTTTTTTGTCTTTTGTCAATATAGGTTTGCATGTGCTTCTGAGCAAAAGTGAAGTGGCATACAAATTTCCAGAACAGCTTCCAATGGTGAGTGATATTTAGATAAATGTATCTCTAAGGTTCAGATTTTAAAAATAAATAAAATTGCTTTGAGTGCAAAAAAGAACTGTTGCTGGTAATGGTGAAGAAATGGAGCAGTGTTTGAGAAAAGTTGCTTTAGCTGTTGGTTAAATACTTACTTCCAGAACCACAACTGCCAGAATGCCTTTGGAGTAGCCTAGCATTCAGTGCACTGGTGGAGGGTTATATGGAGATCAGAATTGTTATTTGGGAGACTGGAGTGATCTACAGCAAACGGTAGGTAAGGCCTGGTGAAACAAGATAGTGTTAAAGCATGTTTTGTGCCTTAAATCTGGTTAAGATCCCAAGGATACAGTGAATATGTGGTGCTGAGTTCCGCCTCTGGAGCAGTTTATAGCGTGGTATCAGTGAGTGATACTCTCCAGAGAGCTGGAGGGGATGACTATTGACTGTTCTTGCACATAACGCAAAACCAGGGGTAGTCAACATGGTTCCTTCCTGGTGTTGCTGAACTCCTCTTCCTGTCAACTCTCATCCTTGACCCATATTAGCTGTTGTTGATGGAAGTTGTAGTTCAACAGCATGTGGAGGCCCACAGGTTTAGTGCTATATGCCTGAGCTGGTATAAGCTCAAGCAAGGCTTGTACTCTCACACTCCCGCTTCCATTTGCATGACTGGGAGGATAAATTCTGCAGCGTTCAGTTTCTTCTAAGCTCTGCTTGTGATTGTGTGTGACCCAGAGATTGCAGTTCATAACAAACTTTGAATTTTGCTTGTTGGGAAAATAATTGAGAAAATAATTTGTCATAATCTCTGGTTCACTTGAAATGACAAGCCATCCCTTCATTGCGGGGGGGGGGGGGGGAAGGTTGCACCAGATGAGCCTTGGGGTCCCTTCCAACTCTTCAATTCTGTGATTCTAAGATTAGGGAGAAATGAAGCTAAATGCTGCAAATTGTACAAACTGTACAAACATTGTACAAACTGGTTCAGAACACCTGCAGGTTTTTTTTTCAAGAGGTAGAATGGGCTTTCTTTCTATTTATAAATATATTTCAGGGCCCTCACCAAACGTGATGAATGTCTAAAGCTTTTTCTCTTTTGTTATATTCACTTAATGCAGAGTGAACTTAGTCCACCTATGCTAATAGAACATCCCCTGCGATGTCTCGTTCTATGTGCTCAAGTACATGCTGGGATGTGGAGGAGGAATGGGTTCTCACTTGTTAACCAAGTAAGTATCGAACATTTATTTGCCCCTCTTTCTGTATATATCTGAGAGTCACGGGGCAATTTGAGATACTATTGCATAAGGAGTTAAGTGTCCTAGATCAGTAGCTCACAGCATAGCTGTGTGTTATTCTTCCTAGAGAGATAAAGACATTGGGGCAGGGAACTGTGTGCTCCCATTTTTTTCCTGGGTCTTCAAATATTTCTGTATGGCTGCTAAATATGTTTACCAAGAAGCAAGTCAATCTGAACTCGTGATTTCTTGTTCCACCCTGTATGTACAGTGAACAAGAAAGTTAAAGTTTTATGTTCCTGTAAACTGTCATGCAAGATCTGTTTATGTATATAAACATTGTAAATAGATATAATCATTTTTCATCCTAAGGGTTTTTTTTTAAAAAATAGTAGTAAAATACTAAATAAGCTTCAGGCAACTTATGCTAGACCCACAAGTTCCTGATCAGCAAGTTGGGAATGCAGCAGGCATTAGCATGCCCAGACATGGTTTCTGGTATCTGCGCGTTCACAGACGCAATTTCCGGCGCTGCTCAGCGAGTTGCTTCATTCCACCAGTTTAGCGCAGCATGCGGGGGACTTGCCAAGTAGGCGGCTCGGTTCAGGGGCAGCTTGTGGGCTGGTAAAACGGTCTTTGTGGGCCGCATCCAGCCCATGGGCCGCACATTGCCGACCCCTGCTTTCAACCATGGCTTGTATGTAATTACAAGATGAGATTTATGAAAATCGGAGGTAAACCCAGCAGAAGTTCTTCTCCCAGCTGTGTGGCAGAAGGAGAGGGGAGGTTGGGGTGAGCATGAAAGGCTTTATTCAGGTTCATTCTGGTTATGCAAACCTCTTTCTGATCTGTATCTTGTATTTCATATGAATTACCTATTCAATTATGAAAAACTTATCTTTGCTCCTCCACAGATATACTACTATCATAATGTGAAATGCAGAAGAGAGATGTTTGACAAAGATATAGTAATGCTTCAGGTAACATTAATGTCATTTTGATGTATGTGTGCTCTTTCCTATTGCCTGAATATGGTTGTTTAAAGGACCCTGAGATGTCACTACTCTGATTGCTTTCTTTAGAAAGGTGGTTTCTTAGGATGCTTTCTCACATTTTTGTATTTGTTTTGAGATGTTTAGAAAATAATTTATTATTTAGGTTCTGTTTAGGTGGCTGAAGAATCCCCAGTATCATAGTGTTTTATGCCTAGATGCATATTTTGCTTCTCTACTTGGTTTCAAACTCGGCGTGTCCTGAACTTGAGGCATGATGCTTCAGTAACAATCCTCACATACCTGTATGTAAGAGGTGTATGGTTTTCTGTGACTTGTCCTCTTGCATGCACCTACATCTAAAATCCATGTGCACACTTTGGAGAAGTCTCTAATTGTATTTTCAGCTAAGGGAGCTGCCATGTTTGGGTTATGAACGTGTTGTATATGAAAAAATTATAAACAGAACCAGTAATAAGTGAAACTACAAAATTTTGAAAAGGCATCTGTCAATGTTGCTACTTATTCTTAAAATGGACAAAAATTAAAAGGGCTGTTTTGTTAAGTCCTGTGTTGCTTCCTAGGCAAAGTCTAAGGAAGATTTGCGTTCATAAATTAAGGAATATTTCCAGCATTGCATAGTTTGTCACACTATAGTATCCATGTTTCCAAAACAAGCATGGAAAGCTTATTTTTAAAAGGCAGGAACATTTCTTATTTTCACCTAGTCAGTGTAATAAATACATTTAAAATTTCATTAGACAGGTGCATCCATGATGGATCCAAATCACTTCCTGATGATAATGCTGAGTCGCTTTGAACTTTATCAGATATTTAGTACTCCGGATTATGGCAAAAGATTCAGTTCTGAAAACTCCAATAAGGTAAGCTATGAGCTGTTGAAAGTTATGCATCTTTTTTAAAAAAAAAAATGCAGCAAATGGATTACTGTACATTAGACTTATTTTATAATAAGAAATCTATAGCATCTTTGTAAAAGTTTTCCGCATACAATGACTGCATTCACACGTAATGCTATACTGTGGTTTGTTAAACAAACCACAAGTTCTGCCATAGACAAGCAAACCAGCTGTGACTGGTTTCTCCAAAGCTTGGTTTGTTTTCCATTTCTTCTTGCCTCGTGCTTCTATAGCTTGACACATGCCTGGAGTGGTAATACCAAGCAAAGTTTGGTTAAGCAAGACTGTTCCATTCAGACTTAGAGTCAAACCATAGTTCGTATGGTTTTGTGTCATGCTTGCCAGAAAATGAACCATGGTTAGTCTGCTGGGCTGGGTTTGGATGTTCAGACGAACTATACTTTGCCTATACAGTCACGGCTGAATGTTCTGTATAAACCAGGCTACTGAATATATTTTTCCTTTTCTTTCAGGATGTGGTTCAACAAAATAATACACTTATTGAAGAAATGTTGTACCTAATTATAATTATTGTTGGTAAGTTTCTAGTCTATTTCAGTTTATGTGTTATGAATTGAAAGGATTTGGAAACCAGGAGTGTGCACTGACCCCAAAATAATGGTTTGGATCCCAATTCAGCACTTCAGAAATCAGTTTGCCTTAACCTGAAGCAATTTGTAGCTGGCCAATTCAGCTAAGTTCCACCTGAGACCTGCTCCATTCCTCTGCTGTTCACTAGTGGGAAATGAAGAAATGGCTTTCACTTCTTTCTTTTTGACAGAACTAGGTGAAATTTACAGGCACCCTCCAGAGAATATGATACCCAGTGAATTACAGAAAATAGGTTTAGGAGCTTTCATGTTGGGTACTATAAAAAAAATATATTATGAAAATGTCTTAACTGTTATTGGGTGGAATTGAATGAAATTTGTAGGCACGTCACCCATTTAGAAGACAAATATTGTGCCAAACTTCTGAAGCTCAGCTGAAGAAGTTTACTTGCAGGGTAGCCATTGCAGTTTTAGGGTATGCAAAAAACCCCACACCCCTAACTTAACCTTCCCTAGTGGTTTGTGGGCAATTGCTCTAAAAATTGAAGACCCAGGGAAGTGTCCTTTGGTAAGATGAATGTCGAATTGGAGACAACTAGGACCAAGGACTTCTGTGCTAGGCATCTTTTTAAAAGTTATTTGGCAATGGGAAGAACTAAAAGGGATTTGCTTTCTGGGTAAATAATTCCTTCTGATTATAAGCCTGACCTGTCAGTCACTATGGAGCACTGCCTTGGTGTTCTTTACCACTCTGGTGTTTGATCTCTCATCAGCCCACCCTGTCAGTATGGTAAGCTTAGATACATTGCTTTTAATTTCAGCAAGCCCTTGTCTGCAGCATTTTTCTTCTGTGCATAATCTGCATAGTGGCTTAATGTATCTTTATCTAGCCAGGCAGAAAACATAATATATGAATGGTTAATAAAAGGAATTGACCCCTGTTTGCTGTAATTATGGATTTATTTTGCAGGAGAGAGATTTATCCCTGGTGTTGGACAAGTCACTGCTACAGATGAAATCAAGAGGGAGATCATCCATCAACTGAGCATCAGACCCATGGCACACAGTGAATTAGTAAAAGCATTGCCTGAAGATGTGAGAATCACTAAAAATACATTCAATGCAGTGGATGAAAGAACTTTTGGAATTGTGATTGGCTTCTGTGGAGATGGGAGGAGAGGTTCAGTTTTCATGGCAGGCGTAGAGAAAATTGTTCTTATGGGACACAATGTCTTTCCAGCCAATAGGCATTTGTGTTCTTCTTTAACTCTTTCCTACAATTTAATGCTGCCTAGAAATCTGTCAATACCGTATGTTAAACTTTCTTAGCAACTTGAAATCATTTTGCTGCCATTGGGAGTGCAGTCGTGGTGAGAAAGCTTGCAATGCCATGAGGGGAAAATGGATGTTTGGTGAGGGGTGTGTGCAACAACATGGATAGAGCTAGTCGTCAAATTGTTTTGTATCTGCATTGCTGCATCCTAACAGGGTAATAGCGGTGAGCTATGGCCGCTGTGGAAGGTCAAACAACAGGAAAGTGGGCAACCAAAGCAGAAATTGTGGTATCCCACCACATTTGCAAGTTAGGATAGAGAGCATGATTCTGAGATAGGACCAAAGTATCCTTTCAGATTGATAAATTTTGATGATGATTATAGATATACCAGTGTTCTAGTGGAAATATTTGGGAAGTAGTTGCTAGTCATAGGCATATCCAGTGATTTTCTGTTCCTTTTTTAAATTATTCAGGAGAACAAGGAGACTGGGATGGAAAGTGTGATCGAAGCAGTTGCCTGTTTCAAGTAATGTCCTTTCTGCAATCGTCTTTCTAAATGTGTAAAATAACAACAAAGCATAGCCTTCTTGTTTGTTTTTTCAGTTTCTTCATAATGAGTTACCAGGATGGGTTACACAATTTACAAATACATCACCATGCAACAGATTGCTTAAGGCTATTCTTAACTGCATTCATAAGACAGTAAATGTTTTGAATGAACTGTTCGCAACATACATAATCACTGGCAAATCTGACAAGGTGTATAGGAACACTGTTTGCCAAAAGTAGTTGTTGACAAACAAACCCTTCTTTTTAAAAAAAAAAAAATGTATATACAAATTTGTGAAAGAAGGGTGACTTCCAACATAGCCACAGATACTATCTGCTCCCACCTCAGGGTTTCTTGTTCTGGCAGGTTGGGGTTTCCCTTGAACATATTTTGGGGGTGAATGAGGGCTGGGGAAGGGAGAGGAGAAACCAACAGCGGAAGCAGATTTTAATTATACAAGCAAGTGGGCATCACTGGATTTTGCTAAAAAAAAATTACATACAAAAAAAACTTCAAAAGGGTGTGCCATGTTAGCCTTTTGCAGCAAAAATTAAAAGCTAACCAATTAATTATGGTCTAAACTTTTGTGGATTAAAATCCATGTCATCAGATGCACTATTCTTCTGATGAAGTGGACCTCTAATCCTCAAAGGTTTTTGCCATAATAAGTTTGTTCATTTTTAAGATGCTACAGGACTCTTTGTTATATAGAAGGAAATAAAAAGCAAGAAGGAAGGAAGAAGTACTGTAAAGGGAAACAATAGCTATCTCTGGTACACACCTACCAGAAAGAAACTGTATATGAATCCCTTAAGAGAGTACTACTGGTGCTTCTAGTGCAGTAGTTAAAAGGATAAAACAAGGCCTGAATAGGCTAGTATCCCTCGTTCTTGAGTTTTCAAAGGGCTTGCTATTTCATGTACATGGAACCTTTTTAGAAGCAATGTTCAGTTATTGAGGTGTGAATTCTAAGTGTTCTGTTTGTGTTTTAGGAAACCAGGACTAACAGGCAGAGGATTGTATGAGCTGAAACCAGAATGTGCTAAATACTTCAATTTATATTTCTATCATTTTTCAAGGGCAGAGCAATCCAAGGTAACAATGAAATATAAATAAATTGTAAATAAATAAATAAATATAAATAAATATAAATTAAATTCCAAAAGATAAGTTTACAGCAATAAATCAAACTTAATGAAATTCCTAACTTGTAACACTGACTGGAAGATCTCGTTTTCAGAACTAGAGATCTTCTGTCAAAGGTTTGAATGGGCTGCTCAAATCAATATGCAGAGTTCAGCTTTGTTGCCTGCTTAAGTCCCTGGCCTCAAGCCTTTGAAGGGTCCTCATTTGTCTACCCATTACTTGCCATCAGCACACAAGTTCCTTTGCCTATGTGATGCTTTTGCCCAGTCTTCCTTTGTTTTTCTTATTGCCCCTTCCATCCCATTTCCTTCAGACTTCTGCATTTAACTGGAAAAGGGAATTGAAAATATAAAGGTGTGGGTTGGAAAACCTATCCCATACAAGCACTTTTGGATTCCTGTTGATCCATCTGATATGACCAAATAATCTGATATTGTTTGATCTGCCAGTGGCTTGGCATTGAGTTTTTGCTGAACCACATTTCTGTTACCAGGAAAACATTGAAAGTAATACTGGGAAATATAAAAAAATAAAGCTTCTTGCATTACCTAACGCTACTTCTTGGAATTCATGCCGGGCAGCAAAATATAAAAACCCAGATGTAAACAGGCATTGAGTTTTGGCTGAATCACATTTCTGTTTCCAGGAAAACCTTGAAAGTAATACTGGGAAATATCAAAAGATAAAGCTTCTTGCATTACCTATCACTACTTCTTGGAATTCATGCCGGGCAACAAAATGTAAAAACCGGCCTGTACAAAAATAAACAAAACTGCTAACAAATCAGTCTTTTATAACAATGAAGCCTGAGTCAGAGCTGCAGGATTATTGTAGCACTCAATGTAATGCAGAAAAATAGAAGAGGAAAGTAAATGGCAGTGTCTGTTAATTTTGCAGAAATAATATTGTTGCCTTTAGCATTTGGAAAATTTAAAATATACATAATTCTTTTTTTTTAATAAGGCGGAGGAAGCCCAAAGGAAAATAAGGCGACAAAACCGGGAAGATACAGGTACCTGTCTTGCTAGTGTATGAGGGTATCCTCAGTTGTCTCTGCTTTTTAAAATGTCATCAAAAATGAAGTTGGCGCTGAGCTTAATTCAAGATATAAGAAATTTGCAACAATGTACATTCTTGAAAAAAAAAGTTTGAAATTTTCTTCCTGCTTGTAATGGATTATAGAAAATGAAGGCTATGGAAAGACTTCCCTTGAGATTTGCAAAAACAAATACTGCACATCAGAATGGTGTGGCTGCTCCTTCATACTTGGATCCTTTGCTGTCCAGTATTGTTTGGATAGTTGAAATCCTACGAAGTTTGGGATAGTTTGGATAGTTGAAATCCCATGGAGAGGTGACATGGAAGCATTGCATATGATCTGTGCCACATGATTTCATTCATCGGCAGTTCTTAGGAACAGCTTAGGATCCGGATATGGGAGAATGACAACAGAACTGCTTTGATTCTCTAAGATCAGGAAATAGGTTGCAGTCTTATACCCACTTACCTGATAGTAAACCCCACTAAACTCAGTGAGTAGATGGGCTTGAAAGAACAAAAACTTGGGCTTGAAAGAACAAAAACTCCCGATGTCGTTTTGTCATCTTGAAAGGCTCCATGACATATTCTTAAATATTTCATGCACATTTCAAAGTTTGCTGCAGCAGGGCTATACAATATTTCATTCATTTATTTCTATTTCAGCTCTCCCACCTCCTGTTCTACCTCCATTCTGCCCTCTGTTTGAAAGCCTGATCAATATTCTGCAGTGTGACGTCATGTTGTGCATTATGAGGACGATACTGCAATGGGCAGTAGAGCATAATGGCTATGCCTGGTCGGAGTCCATGCTTCAAAGGGTGTGTTTCATCTTTAAACTCCAGCTGTTATTAATTCACTTATAAATATTAGCAAATTGTATAGAAAGCTTTTTCCAGAAATACAAACTCTAAGCATGTTAATTTTTTGCTTAGGTTCTGCACTTGACTGGAATGGCCCTTCAAGAAGAAAAACAACACATTGAGAATGCTGATGAAGATAATGTAATAACATTTACTTTCAGTCAGAAGATCTCAAGTAGGTTGATAGTTGTATAGGCATTGCAAACTTTGATTTTTCCCGTAGTACCTCCGTTTATGCTCTTCTAAAATACTTGCATCTGAAAAGCTATTTATTAAACATAATACTGGAACTAACTTCAATGTTGCATTTCTTTATGAAAATGCATACTTACTATTTCACTAGTACAAAAGTGAACAAGAATAATATGTCTGTTTTTTCATGTGTTGTGACAGAAGCATTGCTGTGTTTGTATGCAACAATAAGCCAGATTTTCTGGCTTATCATGGTTTTCTGTACATAAACAGTGGGCTCCTGTGGGCTGCCCAATTGCTTCACTTGTCCCCTGATGTGAACAAGGTAAACAAACCAGGGTTTTCCATTTCATCCAAACTGGGATGTAATGCTGTTCCCTAACAAGCGACCAGACAACCTTGAATCATGGTTTGTTGGCCTGCTGATTGTAGTTTGCTTGTTGTTGTTGTTGTTTAGTCGTTTAGTCATGTCCGACTCTTCGTGACCCCATGGACCAGAGCACGCCAGGGAGTTTGTAGTTTGTAGTTTGCTAGGGAACAACAAACCAATATTTCCTCTGGCATAATGGGAAGCCAAGGCTTCCAGGTTTGTTTATCTTGCTCTTATAGGAAGAAATGAAGCAGCAATGATCAGGCCACAGGCACCAACAAGCCACTCATTGACAGCAAACCACAATATTATGCAAATAGGGCCCTTATGTTTATTACCATCCTTCATTTGCCATTCTGCCAGTTTGACATCAAAGGCAACTTGCAGGTACCAGACCTGTAAAACTAAAACACAAGAATAAAATTATACAAAGCACAGCATCTAATTGTATACAGTGGTACCTTGGTTTACGAACCTAATCCATTCCGGAAGTTCATTCTTACACCAGAACCATTCTTAAACCGAGGTGTGCTTTCTGTAATGCAGCCTCCCGCCGCCGGTGCCCTTCCACCGTTCGGATACCGTTCTTAGACCAAGGTAAAGTTCTCAAACCAAGACACACTCTGGTTTTGTGGAGTTTGTAAACCAAATCGTTCTTAATCTGGACTGTTCTTAAACCGAGGTACCACTGTATATGAATTCTTATTTCCTTTTGGGTAAAATTTAGTGTAATGTGAGCAGAAAATCTGTTTTGGAGGGATCCCTATCCTTCCAGAGCAAATTTTGAGGGCACATGGGAGGCGAGGGAAGGTGAAGTCCCATTGTGTAAGAGGAAATCCATTCTGCTCACAGATGGACAAATTTGGATACACCCCTTTGTCTTTATGCCCAAGGTGTGCTTTACACACTGTTGGTTTTTAATAAGGAAAGCTATTTTTTGTATGCTTCTGATAAATATGGCACTATATTTGACTCAGGCACATAAATCAGGGAACAGATTGTCTGTGGCTCCCTGTGTAAAATGTACATTTGCCTCTGTGTAATGTTTGAAATGGTCTTCAGTTCCTCTGCTCTAATAATAATTTAAACTATTGATAAATTTTGCAATTCAGTGGGGGGGAAGTTTGAATGAAGGGGAAATGCACCACTTTCCTGGGATAGGATTTAAAAACAACATGTATCCTGTAAGTAAATACAGTTCTGCTATACTGAATTTAAGCTAACACAATGAAGTCAAACAAATAGAGCAAATGTGTATAGTAAGTTGTTGTTGTTTCCTCTTACCCTTGTTTGAAACAGGGCCTGGTGAGACACCCCGCAATTCCCCAAGTATATTAGCAATGCTAGAAACTTTGCAAAATGCACCGCACCTGGAAGTCCACAAGGATATGATCAGATGGATACTAAAGGTAAATTGTGCTCCATTTTTTCTACATTTTTAACAGAGGAATGTTACAATATTTAAATAGCAAACAATATAAACTTCCTTGTTCCAGACTTTTAATGCTGTTAAGAAGCTCAGAGAGAGATCTTCTGCAAGTCCTGTATCGGAGACAGAAGGAAATATTATGGAAGAGGTAAAAATAAAACCATTGAGTACTTAACCTAGTATTTACCATTCATTAAATACACTTATATCTCAATGGGCAGATTTAGGGGAATTTGTAGTGGGGGGAGGAGTTTATGTTACCCTTGTTGATGGGGAACCTGTGCGCTAAGGGCCTAAATCGGCAGTGGTAGTCAGTGGGGCAACTGTTGCCTAGCAGAAGGGAAAGAGGGAGGGAAAGGTCAGCTTGGTGTATATGCACCAGTGGAGCCATTCCGATGCTCCTGGTGCATTAGCACCGCACCAACCTTGCCACTGCGTCGCCCCTACACCTCCTGATAAGCAGAAGCAACACAGGCAACGGAGTCAGATGATCACCACCACCCTGGCAACTGTAACTGCTAGTTAGGCCAGGCACAGATACATATTTGGCTCATGAGGCCATTTCTCTTAAACCACATCCACGTATCCCACAGCTGGCATAATATTTGACGTCAGGTGTGGGGCAAGTACAGAAAATTTGGCTTATTTTGCGCGGGGTTTTTTTTTAATGTCAAGACACTCGTAAATTGTGGAATCCGTTCATAAACGAAGATCAGTTAAAATCTGCTGTGTTTGTTAACGTAACAACTTTGTAGAGCACACGAGATAAAGAAAAGGCCGAGAGAAAGAGAAAAGCCGAGATTGCCAGGCTGCGCAGAGAGAAGATCATGGCACAGATGTCTGAGATGCAGCGACACTTCATTGATGAGAACAAAGAGCTCTTCCAGCAGACTATGGATGAACTTGAAACTTCTACCTCCAGAGTGCATGATAATAGGTAAGATGAAAGGGACAAGCAGTGTAGTAGACTCTTCACTTTGTCATTGTGCAACGGCATTTTCACTCCAGCCGGTGTTTATAATTTCTTAAGCTTGGATCCTAAGAGTGTCATGTGCAAACAGAAGAGTTTCCAATCCAGTGGAGGATGCTGCTGGAAGAAGGACAGGAGAGGAGGGAGCCCTTAAACATCCACAATGACATCTACTAAAATAATATGGGATGTGCTTGTGTATGTTTTGTGCTTTGAATTCTGGCACATCTAAACACTTTCAAGAGTGCTGCTTTTAACTGTGACACTATGGAGAGCTCCTTAGATTTATTTATTTTTTAAAAAAGTAGGACTCTTCTGAAAGTTTTCTTAAGGCATAAGCTGCATCATATCCAAATTAAAATGTTTGCATTGGCAGCTGCATACGATGAACTGAACTATTGCCTTAGTTTGGAAAACATTCCAGTGAAATACTTACTAATATCATTTGATTCTAGTCCTTCAGTTTCAGATACCAAGCTTACAGCTTTGGGTCCTGAGCAAACTAAAGTGACTGCACAGAGGCAAGTTGTTACCTGTATCTTATGCCAAGAGGAACAGGAGGTTAAGGTGGATAACAGAGCCATGGTGCTGGCAGCATTTGTTCAAAGATCGACAGTCTTGTCTAAAAACAGAAGTAAAGTGATTCCAGATCCTGGTAAGTAGAGGCAACATTGTGATACTGGATATCCATCTTTGTCATTGTATGTGATTTCGGTAGGTCTCCTAGATTTGAATAATAACTACAAAGATTCTGTTCAACGTATGTATTTATATACTGTAGTTTTAATTCTATTAATGTTTAATCGTTTTTAATGGATGTTTTTTCTATGCTTTTGGTGATTCTTGCTTTTATCTGTAAGCCACCTTGAGCCACATCAGGGGAAAAGACCGTGTGTAAATAAATGTATCATCATCATCATCATCAAATATTTAAAATCACCCTGGTTCTAGCTTAATGCAGAGGCCTTGGGCCACCAGGATTTTCCCAGTGGCTGAGTCTAGTGCATGTGTATTAGCCATGAGCTACGTGGGAAATAAATTTTAAATAATTATTTGATTTAGGATGTTAATTCCTTAATAATGTAAAGGTATTTTCAAAATCGATGTGAGTAAAATTTGCAGTTTTTCATTCTAATGTTTTTCTTAAAATGTCTTTACATGCAGAAAGATATGATCCATTGTTCATGCACCCGGACCTGTCATGTGGAACATACACTGGTAGCTGTGGACACATTATGCATGCCCACTGCTGGCAAAGGTAACTTTCATTTTAAAAGTTTAAGAGATGTCAGTTTAGCGCAGTTTTCCTCTGTGGTCTGATGCACTTGGCTAAGTATTCATGTACAGCCACTCAAGTAATTCATGATGTCCCTGCCTGAGAAGTTGATCTCCCTTTTGATCATCTTTGAGTCCATGGTTGCATGTTACAGGCCTCATAATGTTTTGGCTCTACGTATAGTGCATATCTGCAGACTGATCAGAAGGTCAGGTGAAGATTAGGGTCACTTTGGGCAGCAGACTGTCTACCTGTTAATGGGGCAGAGAAGAATTTTGAGACAGTGGTTTTATTTTGTAACAAATCTCTAACAGGAACAAAGCTTAGGAGCAAGAATTGGATGAAGGGAAGAAAAGGAAATTGACTGACCAATCCGAGAGCAAATAAAAGCATTTTACCTATAACCACCCCTACACCAGAAGAATGTTTAAATTTTCTTCGTACAAAAAAGTTTCTGTAGTCAACTCCATTTTGTCTCTATATATTTTAACATTTTGAAGACAAATGTAAAGTATGTCTGAGAGAACACTACATCTTTAAAAAAAATGCTGCAACTTCACTGTTCATTAGCCCGAAATAAATTGAGTTGCTTGCATAAGAAAAATTAAATTAGGTAAAGAACATTTGCACTCCGTGTCTCACTATTTCCTTTATTCCTCTAACCCTGGTGAAAGGAAACTCATGTGTTTTATCATCATTCTCCCCAAGTATGCATGCATTCCCCAAACATATACTAATGTTAGGTTATGTATGCCCAGCTGTTTTTGACCTTGCTCATTGAGCTTATTTCTAAAGATGTGCCCAAATGGAAAGGTTTCGTTGCAGTGAATTCCCATTTTGAGACATGCTTCCTGCTGGTGATACTATTCTTGTATTGAAGTGTCCTATAATTGAGAGGTTCTGTATGCTGCATTTGGCTGGCCAGTACCGCAAACCTTCTAACAAGGACTTTACACGCTGGAGAAGATGTCTTTTGTGTTGATGAAGGCAGCAAAGTAGCTTTCAGTGGTATCTTGTGGAAATCATTTTGCAGAGCTTTAACTTATGCTTCTCTCCAAAGGTATTTTGACGCCGTACAAGCAAAAGAGCAAAGGCGACAACAAAGATTACGTGTGCACACAAGTTACGATGTAGAAAATGGTGAATTCCTTTGTCCCCTTTGTGAATGTTTAAGCAACACGGTCATCCCTCTACTTCCTCCCCCAAGGAGTTTGTTTAACAGGTCAGTTACCCTTTCTTAGCTACTCTGTTGGTTTGATTTAAAAAACCTAGTACTACTTTCCTGAAGGATGGGGGGGGGAACCACCCAGAACTGATTTTGAGGATCGGTCCCAAGAGCTGCAGGAAGGGGGGAGGGCGCATAATAGAGGGGGGGAAATCACCTCTATGAGTGGATGCAGCTTGTTTGTTCAAAAGATCTGGTGCAAGGGCACAAATTGGATGCAACTCTGGAGAGTGTCTGATAGATGCTGGGTGTGTGCTGTGTTCTCTTTAATGTTGGGAAAACATCAGGTATCCTTAATTTGACATCACAGCTTATTAAAGATTTTTGTGTGGTTATGAAATGCTTAGTAGTCTTGAAATCATTCAGGGTGTCTTAACAAGCCTAGGCCAATCATCCCGGCAATCTTACTCTCCTTTGAGGAGTATAGTTACAAGAGAATTTGCAGATAGGTATAGAAATGTATGTGTATAAATGTATATGCATATGTATACATTTATATAAAAATAATATGTAAACAGCAAAGCCGAAGAGGGTATCATTTGGTGTTGATGCCTGCTTTTTATTGTTTTTGTATATGTTATAGTAGCCTTGTATTTTTGACTTATTACCTTCTGGGCTGTGTTACATTTTAACGTGTAGTGGGAGAAAACAGACTGTATTGATTGCAGACTAGATGGGTAGACTGAAGCCTGCTGACAAATTCCAGTTCAAGAGTTTTATGATGAAGTGCTGCTGCAATTGTCAGAACTATTAAGTCATGAATTTGTATCAGTGGTGCCAGCAGAATACTTCTGCTCCCACAACTGGACTTCCCCTTCCTTTTCTCTCCCCAGGATTCCCCACTCCATGCACTCTCAAAACCAGCCCCAGAGGGTTGGGAAAGACTGGGAAGCAGATCCTGGCAACACACAGGGACTGCAGCAGGGAGGAGAGGGAGGAGAAGTCCCATTGCATTAGCACAACTCCCTTTTACACAGCTTTAGGATACAACCATATATATTTAGAAGCCTATTTTATTTTAAAAGCATATTATCTTAATGTTTAAAAAATGTTGTCCATTAAGGGCAACATTAATGCTTTATGTTGTCACAGATTACTGGGATATCTCTTAACATACGTAGTCCTAACGTATCACTGCTCTGTTGTAAAAGTTGTGCATGCTTTCAGCTTGTTTTGGTTTGCCCTAGCAAAAGCTGCAAAAGATTGGCAAAGCAAAGTCGCACGTGGCAAAACCTTAGCGCTGATAGGTAAACATCAGTAATCATATGCTTAATAGGTCAGAGAGCTGCATTAAAAGATTTGCTGTGCCAGAGTAGAATTTGTCACACTCGCCCTCTAATCCTCATGACATAGTTGTTGTTTTTCTTCTTCTGTTGAATGCTGGCTTCTGCATGATGGCCACAGGAAATGACAAATACTTTTGGAGAAACTGAGACTAATTCTCCTGAGGAAACAGCTCTAAACATAATCCATTTGATTTCTGATAGTAATTGTGACGATCACATAGGGTCCCCGGATGTTTAATGGTCTATTGATCCCTGTGCCACCACTGTGCTCGCTTCTCCGCTGCCACCAACCCGTTACTCTCTCGTAAAACACTGAGTCCAGACAGTTGTTAAAAGTGAACCAAAAAACAAGTTTATTTTACAAACATTAACAAGTTTATGGTTTCTCAGATAATACTCCTTTCAGTATCTTAACTTTAGTTTCTTTACCAGCCTATACCTTCCTAATACCTTCTGCCTGATTATCTCAACTGTTTGACTGACTCCTCTTAACAAATTCTCTCCCTCTCTCACACCAGACTAGCCCAACCCACAGACTTATCTTCTCTGTCTCTTCTAACTCCAGACTGTCTTCTCAACCACCCTAACTCTCTCTCCAAAAAACCCCTCTGTGCTTAAACATTATACACAGTTAACTCTGCCCCCTGGGTTCTCATTGGTTAGTCATTTTACAATTAGTTAACACTTTCCTTATGAACCCAGTATGATGTCACACACCTAGGAGGGCAAACGCCACAGTAATCCGTTGGGTTTGCTGCCTCCAAGTCTGAGATACAACATGTTTAACAACTAGTAGTGGTGGTTCAGAGAAAAAACAAAATGGATTAGATTCAGAGCTGCTGTGACTTGGATCTAGCAGATACACCCACTGGAGAAAGGAGAGGAGCATTTTATTTTATTTTTGCTATTCCCTTTCCTGCACCACCTTCCATCTTGTTCCATAGTATGGGACCCATCTGCAGGAAGCATGGGGGTCTTCAGGGCAAAGGGGGAATTGGCAAAAATCAACCTCTCTCTCTCTCTCTTCTGCCCATGGAAGCATCCATTTAGCAGAGTTCTTCTTCATGCAACTATAGATCCAATCCAAGATGCTAGTATTAATTTATACCGGTATATGAAAGACTGGAGTTTCTTTGGTCATTTCACAGAATCACAGAATCGTAGTTGGAAGGGATGCAAAGGGTCTTCTAGTCTAACCCTCTCCAATGCAGGAATGTCAGCTAAAGCACCCGTGGCTGATGGCCAGCCAACCTGTGCTTAAAAACCTCCAAGGACGGAAAGTCCACAACCTCCTGAGGGAGTCTGTTGCATCAGCAAGTTCTTCCTGATGTTTAGTCAGAATTTCCTTTCTTGTAACTTGAATACTCCATTGATTTGGGTCCTACCCTCTGGAGCAAGAGAAAACAAGCTTACTCAGTCTCCTCTTCTCGAGGCTAAAAACATACCCAATTCCATCAACTGTTCCTCATAATGCTTGGTTTCAGTCCATTGATTCCCTACCACTGGTTGCATTGCTGGGTCTTAGCATTGTGTCTCTTGTTCACCCTCTAGCAGAGTTATGCAAGAGCATGATAGAAAAACAATTCAGGAAACTGGCTTTGGTGGGGAATGGAATGGAAGTGCATTGCCTCTCTCTTCCTGTCCCAGAGTTCTTGAATTGGTGAGGAAATCACCCGTGGGAATGCCCTGCTCATATAAGAATACTGCACAAGGCCTGCATTCCTGATGTCGGACTTGGGGGACTGTTGTATCATGTATGTAAAAATATGACTTGAAAACACATATGTATATGCTTGTTCTTGACAGGTTAGATTTTTCAAGTCAACAAAATCTTGCTCAGTGGATAAGAACAGTATCTCAGCAAATCAAAGCATTGTGTATGCTTCGAGATCAGGAAAGTGCTAGTAAGTGAATTCTGCTTACATTATCACACTTCTCAGGGAAAGGTGTTGAAAAATAGTGTGTTTGCTGTTCAGGTTCAAGGGATTTTTCCTTTTGCGTATCTAATTGGCAATGAGACTGTTCTGATGGTCTCTCTATTGGCAAGAGTGCTTTTTTCTACAGTTTGTAGAGTGCAGACATCATGAACAATAGTATTAACATGCCAGTAAAGTAATGTATCATTTGCTTACCTTTCAGGTAAACCCTCTTGTAGTAGCTCAGAAAAAATGGATGAACTGCAACTACCTGAAGGGTTTAGACCAGAGTTCCAACCAAAGTATGTATCTGTTTATTAATAATGAACTTCAAATTGTCCTGCTACCAATTTAAATACAGTTTGTTCAGCACTAGCAGGCCAGGGGCATGTAAGAACTCTTTTATAAGCTACAAGATAAAATATACACATTTTGGCATTTTTAATTATAAAATGCATGTGATGTTCATAACATTTACAGAAGCCAAATGGATATGATGTGAGTTTCTTGACTTGTCTTTTATTTTAGGATGAGCAACTGTGGGTGAAAAAAAAGCAAAACATCCAGACACTGGGTGATATCCAGTGTTAGTCATACTCAGAGTAGATTATTTTATTTTCAGTGGGTATATTCTGTGTATGACTGACATGGGATATCATCACCCAATGTTGTGTGTATGAAGAAGGAGACTCAGTTCAAAATCCTGATACTTAGATTTGCAATAAATCTAAATATTGATTTAAGTTCAGGCCAAAAATAGTGTGCAATGGAGAGTGATAAAAGCACTCTGGAATACTTTGCAAAGGTTTTCAGTTGGTTGGAAACCTAGGTCCAGCAACTGAGGATAAGTTATCATTAAGGATGTTTAGTTTTACTTTACATAAATGAATAAAATTGCCATCTAACAACAACAACAAAAATTAGCAAAAAGAGCATAGCCAAGATTACTCCAGATTATAAAGTAATTGTCCTCATCCCTTTCAGCACAGCAGTATCACCAAATCAATGGACTTTTGCAGTTTTTATTCACAGAAGTGAATACAGTGAGCAAGAGGTGTTCTGAAAAATGCGGTTTAAAACCTTCCTAAACTATGAGATCCAAATAAACAAGGATGGCAGATAATGTAAAGGGCACATTAGCTGGGACAGACTCTGTGTCCAGGGCATGCTTGGACTTTTAGACTAGGAATGTATTCCAGCCAATGTGAAGCTTCTCAAAATCATGCTTTAAACCTGTAGTTAATAGTGTGTGTTCTTCACATATTTAAGGAATCCGTATTCTGAAAGCATTAAGGAAATGCTGAAAACATTTGGCACTGCAACATACAAAGTGGGCCTGAAGGTTCACCCCAATGAAGACGATCTACGTGTACCTATAATGTGTTGGGGCAGTTGTGCATATACAATACAAACAATAGGTAACAAATTTACCATTCGTTAAAATGTCGAAGCTCAGGGGAGCAAGATCCATTTAGGTGTTCTGCTACTCTCACTTAACTTATTATTTTTGCCCTCCACAGAACGGATTTTAGCAGATGAAGAGAAACCATTATTTGGACACTTATCTTGCAGACAGGTATGATGTGCCGACCAGCTAAGGCTAAAGCACTGAGGGATAAGTAGAGATAGTGAAGTTATAACTTTAACTTATTTTGGGTCCCCTGTAGTTTTAGAAAAATAGCCATCTATTACAAAATAACCACCTGTTATAGATTATTAATATGTGTCACCTCCACAATTTCAGCAAAGCAAGGAATTTTCCAAAGGGCTTAATTTTCATTAAACAGCTTGAAGGAATGAGGTTTGCTTTTGTCTGCTCCTTTGTTTGCCGTACTTGCTTGCAACTGTGGTTATGTCCTCTTCCAGGATGACTGCCTTACTTCGTTGACGAGATTTGCAGCTGCACACTGGGCAGTTTCTTCACTCTCGGCAGTACAGGGTCACTTTGGCAGGCTTTTCTCATGTAAGTTCAAGATCACAGTAATTCTTCTCAATTTCAGAATTATGACAGAGCAACCAAACTTGAAGAAAAGCTTGTGCGTTCTTAAATAACATTTTGGATCCATAGTTATGAAATTCTACTCAATATTGATCCAGAGTAGATTCCAGTGTATAGTTAGCAGAGTAAAAACTTAAACTCGTTGCAAGAGTCCCAAAAAGTAGACCAGAGGCAATTATATTTCATCCAGCAGAGCTTTACTGCTACTGAAGGCAAAGGAGCTTAATGGTCACAAATCCAATACATTCAGGATTGCCACTATCCATAAGAAATCCAGTTGCAGCAGACTTAACTTAAACTTACAATAACTTATAATAAGTGTAAAGCTTAACACTATATACAGAACACCACACCAGAAGGAAGAGAGATAGAGATAGAAAGTGAAGCCCAGGCTTCTTCTGGCCTTACTTTTATAGTCAGCATGACCCTTGACAGAAGAGATAACAAAACCAGTTTGTACTCAGTTTCTCTGAAGGAATAAACCAAATGATATGAGCCTTCTGTTTGTTTCTTTCACACAGAGAAGCTTCCAGAACCCTCTTGAATTAATTAGAATAGGAAAGATCTCTACACATCAGATCAATACTTTCTGCACTGGGAAATGCAAACTGACAAGTTAGGCTTCCCCTCAATCAGCATGTTGCTGATTTAAATTGCGTCAGACCATTAGTCCACCTAGCCAAGGACAGTGTCTAACCCACCTGGCTGACAGGCTTCCAAGTGGAGGTGCTGTGTCTTCCTGAGACAAAGCATTATTGTCCATAGCTGAGTGTTTCTTCATGGTAACTGTGGTCCATATTTTGAAAGTTTCATCCACCGAAGGTAATACTGGGGACCTGAGTAATAGCCATTGATTTCTGAGTGTGACTTAGGTCTATTATCACCCACTAAATCTACTTCAGACTCAGCAATACTACTCTGAAGCTCAGGTGCCATTAGGTTAGAAAACAGTCTACAGTTTCAGAAATTAAATGTCGAATAATAAAATTCTGACATCAGTAACCATTTTGTATTTTAAATATCCAGCTCTGGTGCCTAATGAAAAAAGTGGGAATCTTGCTTGCATTCTTGATATCGACATGTTTCATTTATTGGTAAGTACCTTTATAAATTCTGACAGTGCTGCAATCCCATATGCCATATATCATTAGCTTAACTTTTGGGGGGAAAGTCCGGCACACTGGAAATAATGTCTAGCAAAATATTTTTATGAAATATAGCAGAAAAGAAAGGTTGCAGGTCAGGAAGTAAATACTTGGTGTATGAGTGACTTTTCCTTTGGTTTACTGAAGTAGTGGGTCAGTAGTTAACATTCAAAGTCAGCCCTGTTTGTTGCTTTATGTAAGGATGCTGAAAAGATGGCATTGCGGGATTTGGCTAAGCAGACGTAAATGGGGAATGGATGAGAGAATTCAGTCATTCTGTCTCTTACAGATTTTCCCCTTGTCTACAGGTGTGCTTGGTGCTCTCTTTCCCTGCTGTACACAGTCAGGATTTTTCAGGAGTTAGTCTTGGTACTGGAGATATTCATATCTTCCACCTTGTTACTATGGCACATATTGTACAAATAATGCTTACCTCATCCACAGGTAATGTGTTCTGTTTAAAGTTATGCTGATTTGTGCATGAAGGGAAACTAGAGAAGGGAAGAGAAATAATTATGGCTTCTTGGGCAAAATAATGGTTAACCGTGATGCAGGTGTATATTGTGATAGCTGCAGTTATGCTTTATGAAACGAAGAGCATTGCTCCAGTGCAACTTTTTGTTAATGCTACTATGTTCTTGGTATATAGATTTAGCAAGTTTTCAAATTGCACAAAGTTCTCTGGTGAAGCATCTACAACTGTGGTCACTACAATTAGGTTTAGACTTACTTTGTTCACTTTTCAGAAGAAAATGGCATGGACCAAGAAAATCCTACTGGTGAAGAAGAAGCAGTTCTTGCTTTGCATAAATGTCTTGGCCGGTATGCAGGAAGGTAAAATCATAATTTTTGGTGCAGCCTTTCCAGACATTGTTCTACTTCGCTTGCCTTCTCCAAGCTTAATATATATGGAAGCTCATTTCTTACTCTCCAGAGGTGGAGCCACATGGAGAAAACTCTCTGCTGACTATTCCAGATAATCTCTGATGAGCAGGCAGTCTTTCAGGTGTTCTGGTTTATGGCTTGAAAGAACCCAATGTGGGGCTCAAACCCACGACCCAGAGATTAAGAGTCTCATGTTCTACCAAATGAGCTCAGGGCTAGCTCAGTGACATGATACTGCTTTACATGTATAATGTAGATGGGGCCTTAGTTACTGTGGGGTTATTAAAGATGTGGGGTTAGCCCTGGGACTGAATAGTGTTTTGACTTCGAATCTACTTTAAAAAACAATGAAGTCAGAAGATTTGGGGTGGAATCCAATTGGTGCACTTGCACTCTTTTCACCCAGTGAAAGCTTTCACTAATGGAAAGTAAAGGAACATTATTATTATATTGCTGATTTTCCTGTATCACCTCGACTCCACAGCACCCCTAAAACAGCTCTACAGAATTTGGAGACAGGGCCATGCTATCCCATTAGCAAAGGCATCTGCTGGATAAATAGTCATTCTGTGAGCATAAGGGCACCAGTTGGATCACACCCTTTATTTCCCTGCCTGGGTACTTAATTAATGAAATGTAAAATCAATTAAATGTTTGTGGCATTTTGTGTAACTTTTAAGATTGATTTCACAAAAATTCTACATCTGTTTTTATTCTTAGTGCCTTCAAAGAAATGTCCTCTGGATGGCATCTATGGAGAAGTATAAAAGCTGGGATCATGCCTTTTCTGAGGTGCTCTGCTATGTTCTTCCACTATTTAAATGGTGTTCCAGTACCACCAGAATTGCAAGGTATAAAATCAGTTAGCCACTTTGATGCAATAATGTGAATGGCTGGTGAAGTGTAATTTTAAACACTAAAGAATGAATTGCAGCTTTGTATATTCGGTATTATAACTAATTTGTCTTGAAAATGGAAGTGAGGTGTAATGTGATTTTATAGACAGTGCAGTAGTGGATAATTAAATTTTTGATAGCTTACACTTGTGAACAAAATATGCATTAAATAAGGAACAAAAATGAAAAACAATAACCTTGCAGAATTACCATACCAGGTGTAAAGAGCTAAATATAAACTAAAGTGGCCCAAATCCAGAGAACATTAATTGTGTTGAAGTGCCATTAAAATAAATAGCTTGTCATGACTAATTTTATGTCCCATTAATTTCAAGGGGACTTCAGTTGGGCTTTGCATGTGGGCCTATTAGTTTTCCCTTGGTTGTTGCTATATTTCGCTAATTCAGTTAATCTCATTGGAAATGTGGGTTCTTTTACCTGCACATCTTACAATGTGATACATATCCTCTACCAACAATCCCCTTGCACATTCTACATAGGACAGACAGGTCAGCTTCTGCACAGAGACTCTACGCAAACCATTGGAGGGAATTTTCAACATCACAGAATAGTCTGTAACCAACCTTAAGGTGATCATGCTGGAAAAGGGGAACTTCAAAAGGAAACTGCAATATGAAACCGCTGAATCACAACAATGTATATACCTGTAACTCAGGATGTCATTTAATGCATCTCTTTGAGGTCCCCCCCCCCCCCGCAGTATATAAATTTTATGAAATAAGTAAATAAAAGCATCTAGCGAAGCAAACTGTAGTCCATGAAAGCTTATTCCCTCTTAAATGTTAGTCTATTGCAGCACAAAACATAACTTTTTTTGTGGAACCTTAAAGACTGCAAAATGGCTACTTCTCTGGAAATTATACACATGCGTACATGTGTGTTTGGGGAGTTCCTTACAGAGGATTGATTCATCTAACCATCATCATAATATATCTTTCTTTTCTCTCTCTCCCATTGCAGTCAGTGGGGCAAACCAGTTTGAACATTTATGTAGCTATCTCTCTTTGCCAAACAACCTCGTTTGCCTTTTTCAAGAAAACAGCAAAATTACAGATACGCTAGTTGAAAGGTAGGAACTATATTTATTATTTCAATTTAAATAAATATACAGTGGAAAAACACTTTTTTTTTGTAGAGCGTTTATATCAGATGACAGAGAGAACTATCAGTGTGTGCATTTAGAGACAACCTGATAGTTAAACATTATAAATCACTGTGCCAGCAGAAACATGCTTATTTAAAATAGTGCAGGGCAGCAATTGCATCCATGCAGTACACATTTGCATTGTTCTGTGCTGTTACAGGCAAATGTGAGTATTTTGCATCACACAGCTATAAGGATTGGTACTACCTCATTGCATTGGAGTATAGTTCCCAAATGCAAGATCCTGGCATGGAGATAGTTTTCATTCTAATGGTGGCCTACAGCTGTTGCAAGATTTTGTGATGGGATTGCAATAGACAGCCTATACCACAGTAGATCTCCTCCCCACCCCCAAAAAATATGTGAAATTTGCTTCTGCTGTTGGAATGCTGAAAGCTGTTTTTGAGAAATTTCACAGCATTAAGAGTATTTAAATCACAACGGGTTTGATCCAGAGATGCTCTTTCGCAAATGGAAATTATGGATGCAGGATCTGGAATGATGTACTTCTCAGTTGGCTCCTACAAGAATGAACCCTAACCTCCCCCCCCCCTTTCCATTAACAGCTGGTGTAATAATGATGAAGTAAAAAGATACCTGCAAGGTCAGAGACAAGCCATAAGGTAAGTAAGAGAAAACCAGCAGGAGGGAAAGATTCAGGGGTGTGTAAGACATGCTGCTCACCCCAGTTTTTTCTGTGAATGGGGCAGACTGCAAGTCTGCCACATCCCTTTTGGCCTTTAGTTGGAGTTTGTTCGTAGGCTGTGTGGGTACCCCATCCTCCCCCTACCCTGCTTCTTACATTGTAGGTCCAGTTAGCCTAATTAGCTGTTTTTTTAAAAGGGAGTGTATAAATCCATGATGGAGTTTCTAGTGCTAGAGTAAGGGGATTTCATACAGTGATGCTGTCCTTGAAAGAAGCCTACCAATGTGGGAACATGGTCGGAAAAGTTCATCAGCTGAATGAGCAGACAAGTATCAATCCCATTGCTGCTTCCCTCTTCGTAATAGTTACCATACCTTCCTATTGCTCTTTTCTACTGCTTACCTCTCCTCAGCCTGCATGCCTCTGTTTGCTGTCTCATTTACATCTTTCCAGTGTTTTTGTTGCCTGTCCTGATGCAGGTAATGACAGGTGGAAATTGAAGCCCGATTGAAATAAGGCCAGGTCATTCATTTCTGCCAAGCATGTTTGAATGTGGGTAGCCACCACCTTCTCAGGAAGGAGATATTTGTGACTGGGCAGTAGTAGTCGCATACCCTTGGGTCTGGGGAAGGTAGTCTTCAGGCGTGGCTGTATCACTGCCTCCTTCAGAGCAGCAGGAACTGTCGCCTCCCACAAAAAGGCAAGGGTCACCCAAGCTGATCTCACTAAGCTTGTAGTTAAAGGTCTTTCAATAATAAAAAATGTCAATACTACATTATAGCTTAACAGTGAATCCAAATGTACAGTAATAGATCAAACTGTTTACATACCAAAGCCAAGTTTGAAATGTATTAATTTGTATTATTGGTTCGTTTCATTTTAGCTACCCGCGAGAATCTAACAAATTAATAGACCTTCCCGATGATTACAGTAGCCTCATCAATCAAGCTTCTAACTTTTCGTAAGTCTTATGCAATTCCTTTTGACCACCTTGATTTTTATTTAAATAATTCTGAAACCAGGCTGTAGCTCAGTGACAGGGTATATAGCCTTTGTAGTCCTTGGCATCTTCAGTTGAAGGGGGTCTTAAAGTTTTGAAAAAGTTGAAAGTGTTATTAAAACTTTCATGAATGCTTTGTTCAGCTCCTTACTTTCTGTATCCTTAAAAATACTAAACACATTTTACAAGTTTTTAAACTTTCAAAATATAGGCTTGGGCCCAAATGTGCTCTCCATGGGCAAAAGGGGATTTGTCGATTTAGTGAGAAAGAGGTATCAAATAGTGCTTTATCTTCTGCTCTTGCTTGTGTGAGGTGCATTGTTGCTTAGCTTCTCCCCTCTCCATGAGCAAAAAGGCATTTCGGCTCACAAAAGGCATCTCCCTGTGCCCCAACTCCAGTCTCTTCCCATTCTCCCTCCCTGCTGCATCCTGTCCTGTTTCAGATGCTCTTCCATACTCAAGGATCAGCTTTTGGGAGGAAGGGAAAGTGATGACAGCAGGAAGCAGTTAGCAGAAGGGAGTTAGAAAATCTCATTGCCTGAGTGAAGTTCCACTCACCCTTCTTTGGATCCAAGACATGAACTAAATGGAGTATATTATAATAGTCACAGTGAAACGTACCCAAGTAGATAAGATAGCGTGATATTAAATATAAATGTCACATCTTTTTGCTTCTTACAAAGGTGTCCGAAGTCAGGTGGTGATAAAAGTAGAGCACCAACGTTGTGCCTTGTATGTGGGACCATGTTGTGTTCTCAGAGCTACTGTTGTCAAACAGAGTTGGAAGGAGAAGACGTAGGAGCCTGTACTGCACATACGTTTATCTGCGGCTCTGGAGTAGGAATTTTTCTCAGGTAAGAGGGCGGTTGCACTTGAATAGTTCCAATGGACAGTCACACCTCTCCCACAGCGAGAGGAGACTTAAGTTGTAGGATTTGTTTTTAATAATAATAAAACAATATATTAATTATATTTCGCCCATTTGCCTGGGTTTCCCCAGCCACTCTGGGAGGCTCCCAACAGAGTATTATAATTAATAATAATAATAAAAGCAATGAAATATCAAACATAAAAAACTTTCCTAAACAGGGCTGCCTTCAGATGTCTTCTAAAAGTCAGATAGTTGTTTATTTCCTTGACATCTGATGGGAGGGCGTTCCACAGGGCGGGTGCCACTACCGAGAAGGCCCTCTGTTTGATTCCCTGTAACTTGGCTTCTCGCAGTGAGGGAACTGCCAGAAGGCCCTCGGCACTGGACCTCAGTGTCCGGGCAGAATGATGGGGGTGGAGATGCTCCTTCAGGTATACTTGGCCGAGGCCATTTAGGGCTTTAAAGGTCAGCACCAACACTTTGAATTGTGCTCGGAAACGTACTGGGAGCCAATGTAGGTCTTTCAGGACCGGTGTAGTAGTAATAATAATTTATTTGTATCCCACCCTCTCTGGTCGAGGCTGGGCTCAGAGTGGATAACATCATAAAAACAACACAATACGCATAAAAACAGACATCAGTTAATTAAAATACATCTTAAAATTAATTCAAACAAGTTAAAATCTGGGCAGGTGGCAATTATCAGGTTGTAACTGAGAGAGGTTAATACTTGCCAAGGCCAGCTGTTTCCACTGATCATAGAAGGACCTGTGAGCGGGCTGGGGGCCTCCTTCAGGCTTGTTTTATACAGAGGAAAGTAAATCAAACTGCATCCTGCCCAAAGGCCTGGCCGTCTTGAGGCCCTGCGGAAAGATGTCAAATCCCGCAGGGCCCTGGTCTCTTGTGGGAAAGCGTTCCACCAGGCTGGGGCCACAGCCGAAAAGGCCCTGGCTGTAGTCAAAGCCAGTCTAATTTCCCTGGGGCCCGGGATCTTCAAGGTGTTGTTAGCAGTTGTTATGTGGTCTTGGCGGCCGCTCCCAGTCACCAGTCTAGCTGCCGCATCCTGGATTAGTTGCAATTTCCATGTCACCTTCAAAGGTAGCCCCACATAGAGCACATTGCAGTAGTCCAAGCGAGAGATAACCAGAGCATGCACTGCTCTGGCAAGACAGTCCGCAGGCAGATAGGGTCTCAGCTGGTGTACCAAATGGAGCTGGTAGGCAGCTGCCCTGGACACAGAATTGACCTGCGCATTCACTCTGCACTCATCTCACGCAACTGCTCATAGAGGAGGCACAGGCTGTGGTTCTGTGAAAATGCCTCATTTCTTCTGCTTGTGATGAACTTTAACCTCTAATTGCTGGTGGAGTTATTGATTTAAGAGACATACGGAGTTACATTAACCAGGACGTCCTCTTTTGTGTGATCTTTTCAGAGTACGGGAGTGTCAAGTGCTATTCTTAGCTGGAAAAACAAAGGGCTGCTTCTATGCTCCTCCTTACCTTGATGACTATGGAGAAACGGATCAGGGACTCAGGTAGCTTTCCGTATTCTGTGTTGTATTTGTTTTGTTCGTTTCCAAAAAACAAAACAAACAGCCTATGTTGCCAGAACTAAAGAAAAGCATCGTGATGGTGAACTGCATGAAACCATCAATAGAGTTATATTAATTTTCAAAGTTAATCGCAGTTCTGTGAAATAGACCCATTTCACAAAAATGGACTTCCATGAGGTCATTTAAATTGTTACTAGTTAATAAGGATGGCCACTGTTGCCATGGCTTCTAGCTGTCAGGTGCATATGGAAATACAATTTCTAGAGTTGAATCCGGTAGTTGAAGTCACTGCAAGTTTTGAACAAAAAGTTAAGCATCCAGTCAGTGAATCCTGTTGCAGGATGCCTTTCAAACTGAAGATTGAGGGCACTGCTTAATGTGCAGATGTTGTTAATATCATGTGGGAGCATCATGGAAACCCTACTCTGGCTAAACTCTACAGCAAGGGTAGCCAACATGGTGGTCTCCAAATGTTGTTGAACTACAGTTCCCATGATCCATGGCCATTGACCATACTGGCTGGGGCTGGTGCAAGCTTCAGTCTACCCGTGCTCTACATTATTATTATTATTATTATTATTATTATTATTATTTGTACCAGAACCTTTTGTCTTATGGTGCCAGCCTCATGGAAACTGGGCAAGTCTTATTTGGTGTTTGGCCCGCAAAATGTGCAGTTTGGGGAATAACGAAAGTCTGGGGAAGCATAGATTTCACCAAGGATTAAGTACCAATTGCATATGAGAAGCTAATTGGAATTAGGAAAACAGCATCAATCTCTGCCTGCCTCATCTAGTTAGGATAAAGAAGACATAACATTCTATATACCACATATCAAGTATTCAAACTTGATGTACTTTATCTAATTCAGGTGCGGACAGACTTCTGGCTTGTGGGATCTACTTTGGGGTTGTTTTGTTTTTTGAAACCCCAAGATCCACCAGCCAGAGCCAAGTGCAAAAGACATACACTTAAACATTTCTGGGCCCTTCTGATCACTCGGAGATCTACCTTTTGCTGACCCCTGAACTAAGTAATCTTTACAATCAGCCTTGTAAGGTCGAGCAATACTTCAGATGGTCATGGGCATATGAGGGAATAGACGATACCCCAAGGTGTCAGCGAGGTGATGCTTAATGGATGTGGATATGATGAGGAATGCCTGGCTGGTGACTTGCATTTCTGGCCTCTTAGTGACATCAACTTTCAGCATGTGTCCAGGCCATTGGGAGGAGGTGAGCTTTACTGAGCTTTGCTGTTATGAGCCTTTTTCTCCGATAGCTTTTAGTCACCTGCTTCCATAAAGTGGTGCTGCTACTGGTGGTTTTCATTATTGTTTTTTAAAAAAATATGTTTATTTTTCTCGGATTTCTGGTTTGCCTAATTGTTTCAGCCCTGAGACCAGGGCATGCTTATAAACGTTGCAAACAAATGGTTTTATTTATTTATTTTTACATGCAAGATAGCATTTGGAACTTGGGATATTTCATGTTCTTATAGTTGCTTTTTCATGGACTTTTCTACCCTAGACGAGGGAATCCTTTACATCTGTGCAGAGAGCGATTTAAAAAGATCCAAAAACTTTGGCAGCAACACAGCATTACGGAGGAAATAGGACACGCACAAGAAGCAAATCAAACGTTAGTAGGAATCGACTGGCAACATTTATAACTAATTCCTTTCTGAAGACTGGAACTTCATGGTCATCCTTTTATAATCCAGCAAAATTTGTCAGCCGAAAGGAGGATTAGGAAACAAAGGATTGAAGTAATAAAGAGAAGAGTCTAGTTCTTTTATTGACTTTTCCATGTTTGTATATTTCCTGGTTTCCATAACCATGTAAACTTTTCTGTTTAGCAGATTTGATCAATAGTATTATTTGCACTGCTTCTTTCGTACACAACCTTTTGATTTCTATAACTTGGGCTACTGAATTTAACATTGCTATTACAAAAGTAGCCATCTCCTTGGAGTATGAAACTTTTTGGATAAGAGGAGGAGAAACTGCTGAAATGGCAACTTAGCACAATGTTGAAGTGGTGTGTTCACCCTTTTGTAGTAAATCTGAGCCATTTTGCATTTTAGTACTAAAAACTTGTAATGGAATGAAATAGGAGTGCAAAAAAATGTAGCAATGGGTTTATCTATAGGAGTGCAGAAGAACACTCATTGTATCTAAAATGACTTTGTAATCTGAAGCCTTAAAGGGCTATTTTGCCTTTGTCTTTCTTCTTCTTAAAAGAGAACACTTTAATAAGGAAAACTAACTTAAAGATCTTCTTTTTTTGAACTATTGCACACTTTAGAATTATTGTGTGTATTGTGATATTGACATAGTGGGCAAAAACAGAACGCTGTTGTCCATGCTGTGATTGATAACCTCCTATGATTAGAAGGTTGACGTTCTGCTTAGTTGATTTGAGATATTGAGTAACATCACCCATCAGAGAAGTCAAGCGAAAATTAATTTGGTGTCAGATTGAATAGGAAGAGAATAATAATTTCATTTCATTTCATTTACATTTGTTGATTACCAGCCTTCAAGGTTCAGTATCCTTTCCCCCTTTTAAAGTTCCAAGATAAAAACATAGAAGGCAAAGTGAGAACCAAGGACAGCCCCCCTCCCACCACATGAATTTCCTTTAATTTGCACCGCCATCTACATCTATTTGTACTTGGCTGGCGTTCTGTAAAGAAGTTTGTCTATAGTATATTTTGTAAGTATATTGAAATAACTGCACAGATTTTGCACATGGGTGCCTGAAGGCAGTGAATTTTCTAAATATACATTGGGGCCTCAAATAAAACCATATAAAATAACATTATACTTTCTCTAGAGGTTTCATTCTCTCTGTCCCTTCCAAATAGCATCCTTTTAAAATAAATAACTATAATCTGTAATCTTAGTTAGTTCTGATAACTCTTGGGATTTTTCCTGGCTTTCATCTTCAGTTCAGAGATGGCATCCCACGAACAGCCAGTATACTAGCAATTAGTCTAAGTTTGGGTTTTTTCAGTGATCTAACACATCAAGTAGTGTTTACAGCAGTCTTCTATAGGCTCAGAATAGTTGCAGTAAATACATAGGACACAAATTCAAAGCTATACCAGTTCGGCTTCCTTTTCTTAGGGAGAATAACTTTTGACAGGACAGGCATCCATCTGATCAGTCTTCCTACACGTGTTTGCTAGTAGTTCCTGAGCCTCTCCTTCTTTGCTGAGTGTTGTGTAACTAGCAAGAAAATATTCAGTCTTCATTTTCCCTTTGATTAGGTTGTGAATAAAGCTATTTGCTGTGCATGTTACACTTAATGTACTACTTCTGCTCTGATACTGTTTCTTTGGGATTTTAAAAAACAAACTTGCTTTAAGAGGCATTTAGTAACAATGCATTTAGATTCTCAGTCTCCCCTGCTCCCCTTTTATGGGTGCATAAAACAGAAAAATAGGATCTGCTGCCATTTAACTGACAAGTTTCTATGTAAAGTAAATATTGAGAGAATAAGGTCTTTTCCCCTCAGGTACTCTAGTCCAAGATGGCAGTCAAATGGGTTGATGGAATTATGACTATATGACATAGGAAAAGTGTATAAATTTATCCTGGTTTTTTGTAGGATTGCTCATTCTTCAACAACCCATTTTCTTTTCTGACTTTTTTCCTTTTGCATGTATTTATGTTCATTGTAGAAATGTTTATATAACAAGCTTTCAGTATCAGGGAATTAATACCTGTAATAACTTTCATATCTGTGGACAACTTGTAAAAATTCAAATGTATCATATGTATAAAAAGTATAAAAATAAATGCTTTAGGTGTTGACATTCGATTGATGTGTAAACCTGTTGATTTTTTTTTTTTTTAAGGTGTGCCGAATGTTTTGAGTTACTAGCTTTTGTGTTTTAAGATTAATAGCCTGGATCAACAACATCTCTTTCTGCATTCAAACATCTGAGTTCAAGCATCTTGTCAGCATTTTAGCAAATTAGTATTACACAGCAAAGCACAGAAGAAAGCCTCCACACAATACGGGACGACTTCTCAGGAGAAGTGAAGACTCTTTTCCCAAGATCATTAGAGGGTCTGGAAACCAAGCCTTATGAGGAATGCTTGAAGGAGCTGGGTTGTTTGGCCTGTTTGCAAGCAGTGTTAAAAATGAGTCGTGACTTAGTTCCCAGTTCAACGGGGCAAGTGCACCCGAGTGGTGACTCAGCCCATTGTTTTAAGTACATCTTGCTTATCACGCTGGGAAGGGGGTGGGGTTAGGAAAAGAAGCAAAAACAAAACCAAACCCCACAAGGTACGAAAAAGAGAATTTTATCCAAAGTCCTTCATGCTGGCAATTCAGATGTATAGAAGTTCATTATTATTATTTTGGATCATGTCCTTAAAACAGGACTTGTTTCAACAAAACATTGAACTTCTATATATCTGCTTCTGTATATCTGAATTTCCCTGATGGAAGACTGCAGTTTTCCACAAAAATAAATCATTCTCTTTTCCCTACTCCATGCTCTTCACTCCGTTCTCCTCCCGTCTTACCACAAACAATTATTTTTATTCTTGAAAATGCAAACTCTAAAACCAACATATAACAGTACGGTCAAAACTGGAAGGGTAACCTTGAGTTTGGACTTGAAAATAGATCTCTGCATCGCCTAACCTGTCGCCTTGCTGGAAACAAACTTATCCAGGCATTTATCTCTCAGTGGGGAGCTGTTAGCATGTGACATTGTTCTATTTCTCTGGCCTTATCTCTTAATCAATTAACCTCTAATGCTCTTCTTTTTAAAGAGCATTTTAAAAATACCACATCACCTTCTAAATTTATTTAGCTGAGGTTGGCGTTAGCTTTAACATAAGCAAAGTTAGCAATAATATTTTTTCCCTTTCTCTGAAATGCTTTAAAAAAAAATCCACTCGCATCATTGTAAACTGCCAGTTACCAGTTCAGCGGAGGTTATCCTTAGCCTGAGGAGCCTGATATAGCCGTCTCCTGCTCCTGCTAAGTGGCACATGCTCACAGAAGCCATCACTGTCCAGCATTACGTGTGCAGGATAGAGGAGTGCATGGTGGTTAATCTTATAAAATGTATTAAGGTTACTTAGAAACGATTAGCTCTGGAGCAGCTGTGTGTATACTTTCCTCCCTCTTAGGATGTTTCACCAAGTGTTCTGTGTCTTGGAGGAACAGGGGAATTTTAAAGTAACACTCACATTTCTAAACTTGAGCAGAAAAGATGGGTGTATTAGTCCACAGAACTTCCTTGTAAATTCAGTCGGGTGTATTAGGCATTTATAGAACACGGAAAGTAACTGCACACCAGCCCAACAGCCCTGTGTTGCTCCCAAGGTGGCTACATGAGAGCCACATGTCTGAATAAACATTTCTGTCTCTGGATTTTGGATATTTTTCACTTGATCTCAAATGAGCCAGCAACCTTGAGACCATTCTGCTGTAAATCAGTTACACAATGCACTTTATTAGTCTGAGGATTAATGATTACACGCCTTCAAGGAAGCCCAGATCTTGAATCAGTGTCTGAGGCAGTAATGGGCTAGATGGGGAACCAACAAATTGAAGCTGAATCCAAATAAAGCAGATGTGCCAAGGGAGGATGGTTCCTGGGTTTAGCAGTTAGTGAAATGGCCTGTTCTGAACAGAACTGCACTTTCCTTAAAGGAGGAGAGGTGTACTTTGGTGATGAATATGGTTCCAGTAGTATCCCCCGCAAAGTCCCAACTCAGCAGCCAGCAGCAACTATGCTTCGCTTTGGCTGATGCACTAACTTTCCTGGCTAGGGGTAGCCTGGCCATAGTTTTCCATACTGTAATGCACTCAACATGAAAGTCGTTTTTAAAGCAGTACAAAACACAGTGGTCCAAGTCTTATGGGAGCAGCAGGGAACTCACATATTACTTCCATTTTAAAACAGCTGCACTGGTTATCAATTGTCTTCCCATTCCTGCTTAAGGTGCTTATGCTGACATTTAAATTTTTTAAGTCTCTGGGACCAAAATACCTTGTCGCATACCAACTGGCCCAATATTTAAGATCAACCAATGAAGCCCACATGGTGGTCCTGACAAGAGAGGAGATCAGCAATATGGAGACCATTTGGGCATCTCCAAGGCACTGGAACAATCTCCTCGCTGAGTTGCTCCTTGCCTTGCCATTATCCTTTATTTTAGAAGGAAGGTGAACAGGTACCTCTTTTGCCAACGAAGAGGTGAAGTCAGTCCACAGTTAGTTTTGTAGTGTGCACCTGTAGTTTTGTTTCTGTTGCTATTTTAGTTCATGTTGTGCTTGTTTTGTATTGATGTTGAAACTACTTATAGATTATATGGTGATTTGTTGTTCATTGCCCTGTGAATTTTTGCTGAAGGGTGGTATAGAAATATAGGACAGAATTCAATGCAGCGCTCAGGGGAAGGTTCCATCAGCACAAAGATCTCCGTTTCTGTGCACGAGAACATTCTCTCCACTCTTTCTTCTGCAAGTCCCCTAAATCGGTTCTAGGGGTTCCCCCACTATTCTGGGGCAGATTTGGGGAATGGGGGGCATGTGTGAAGGGAGTAGAAGTAGACAGTCCCACTGACCAAGTGGAAATCCTTGCACTGATGGAACTCATTAGTAGAATACCTCCTAAATGTTCTCTCCCCTCTTCCTTCCATCAAGGAACACCAAGCAGTATTGCAGGACTCCCATTGCAGGACTCACCAAACTCAGAGGTGCTTAGCTATTAGTTAGCTAGCTCCAGAAAGGTTATTTCATCATGAGCTTCCAGCCTAGCATTCTGCAATCCGGTGCCCTCTAGCTGACAGTGGATTACAATTTCCATCATTTCTGACTGGTTCTGGCAATGCTGGTTCTGGCTAATGCAAATTGTCATCCAAACCATCTGGAGGGTACCAAATTGGTGAAGGCCGATCATAAATTTGCCAATCCTCCCCCAGCCCCAGTTGCCGTTCTGTCAAGTGTGCATTTGTGGGGGAGCATGTTTTGTCACTACTTAATATGTCAAATGGCCCTTTGAGTCTTAAGCTGAAAAAAAGCAGAGCAAATGTTACCTTTCTAGAGCGTTGGACAGTGAATTACAAATCCTTACAGCAAAAAACTATTTACAAAGAAACAAAATCCACATAATACTTTAAAATATATATAAGGTACACACTCTTAAAATATAGATAATTTTAATATCTACATTCACATTTGCAAAAATAGCACCTACAAACATATGTTAAATGGCATTTACAATATCACAGAACCTCTTTCTTGATAGGATAAATATATATTACAAATTAATACAAAACAGCCATGTCAAAAGACCCACATGAACTGGAATATCTTATCTTGCAGGATAGTGCATTTTTTGTTTCGTTTCTCAGCCACCAATTCCTTCCTTCCTTCTTAATGAGAAACCTTCACCACTAGGTTGTATTGCTGCCAAAGGGGTGTGGCAGCCAAGTCAGTTGGGTGTCAGTTCCAATTTTTTGCTTGTTCTAAAGGAATTTGCTCAACCTAGTGGTGGAGATTATCCACCTTCAGCAAAAGAAGAAAAAGCATTCAGAAAAACGGATCCCTCCCATTTCTGCAAAAACAACAAAAATGTCTATGTCTCCTGTGTCCTTACTAGGAATGGGTGAATCTTTCAGTGTTGGTTTCTCCCAGTATCTTATTATCACAGTCTTATTATTCCAGTCTTAAGTTTCATTTTCCACATTTCCACATCTGTTTGAAAATCCTTTCTTTAAAAAAAATCCTCATGAATATTCACACACAATTTAAGTGCAAATTTTGTGTGCAATTTTGATGAATATATACATTCTTGCAGTGCATTTTTTGTAACATGCATTTTTGTAAGTTATTTCCACAAATACTGTATGTCTATTTCCATGCACAATTCCCCCTAAAACATGCATTTTTGAACACATTTCTTGGCTGGAGAACTTCACTGCAAAATTCATAATAGTACAAATTTTATAAAATGGTTGTGTTTCTGGTTGTGTATTGTTTCAGAAAGTATGAATTAGGTAGGTTCACTTTTAAATGTGACTTCAAATGAAATCGTTCCCCATCACTAGTCCTTAAACAAAAGCAGATTCTATAACCTAATATAATACAATATAATGAGGTAACTCTTGAGATTAGCTGTGAAATGTGGTGAACCCATATATTCTGATATCACAGTAAATAATGTGTTAAATAAAACCCCCCACACAAATTAGAGGGATATAACCCAACTCTGTATGAAGTGATGGTTGCAGTCAAATACTTCTAGGGTTGCAGTAAGCTTAGGTGCAATACAATAAACTCTTTGGAACTTTTCATGACTACTACTCATATGTCAGATACAGAGCATAGCACACTAAAATCTCCCTGGAGAGCATTTTGAAATTTTCATAATTAAACTCCTTTCCAGCTGCCTGTTCTTTGAAAAATGTCTCATGTTGACCTAACTAGCACCATTATAGATCTATATACAACAGATTTTGAATGCTTTAGTTACTGTATTCTCTAATCTTCAATTGTTTTGTTGCTTACTGGTTTTGCCATCCATATTTCACTGTGTTTCAAAAGCTGAAGTGCAGAATTCTTTTAAGAGGTTCGTACTAAGGTTCATGATCATGTTCTAAACATTTGTCTGCAAATATCAAGAATGGATTTGGAAACATGGAATATGCTGAATTTAACTAACTTCTTCATTTGGAAAAAGAGTAAAAACTGTACATGCGACCTCGCTGATGATGAACCTGTGTGCGACAATGGCATACTACTAAAACCACACACACACACACACACGCCAATTTGCCTAGAATTTCATGAAGGTTACCATTGAACCCTTCCTTTTGTCCTCTTCTGGAACCTAAGCAGTCAGCAAACCCTTAATCATCGCCAAGTTCTTCTTCTTCTTCTTCTTCATAATAATAATAATAATAATAATACCTTTATTGCCATTGTACAACCTGTGTACAATGAAATTAAATGAGCCCCCCTCCCCCCAACACTCAATCTCTTATCAAACAACACACCACCTCACAAGTCAATTTCACTATGTTATTTTTCGTTCTTCTTTTTGATACCTGCTGCTAAAAACCATGGCTGTACTCCCGTCATGACTTAAGGATTCTACTGTAACCTACTCCTTGTTGACATTCCCCACTTGCTGTATCTCTCCCGTATGATTCCTTTACATTGGTGCTCCTTTCTCTGTGATCACATCACTCCTGTGCCTCAGTTTCTACCCTGGCCTCCTTTTTCACTTCAGTCTCATGGTCCTTATTTCAGAGGTCTCCCCCTTCTGCGGCTTGTGGCCATACCTAGCAGATGTCAGCTTCTCTTATGGCCCCTTGCACTCTCTCTTGTCAAGTGTCCATGCACACAGAAGATCCCCATTGGTCCTCAACATGTCCAGTTAAAAAGAGCACAGATAACAAAAGCTGGGAAAGAGCTGTCACCAGAGAAAATGCACAGCACCAGCCTAGATGGACTATTTGGTCTGACTTGGGCTAAGGCAGCTTCATAAGCGATCTATGCATTCTTCTGCAAGTCTCTCCTGAGCTTCTCTTTTTCCAGAACCACCTTCCTTGAACTACCTTACCCCACTTTTTTATTACCACAAGTTCACACACATGTACACTACTCAAAATCTCTTCTCAATCACCCATCCCTTTCTTCTGTCACTTACTGAAGATGGTCAAGTCTTTTGGACAAAGTACCAGGTCCAACCGCGTTTGTTCACAGCGCCTAGGAATCTGCTGAAGCTAGCTAACTGCTTTTTGCTTTCACTCAGGAAAGGCTTGCCTGGCAAATACATGCAGGTATGTACAAATAATGAAAGAAAACTTCATATAGAACAAAGATAAAAATCTCTTTACGCAGCAAGCTCTTTCCCATGCTTCATTCCAGCTTCTAACATTTAAAAAGTATTTGCTATCTGATCACCACTTTTAGAATAACAGTAAAAGTAATATACAGTCATGCAGAATAACGTGTTTGGATTCAAAGTGCACTGAGCCAACGAGGTCATTGAGCCAATGATGTCTTCTGTAAGCTGCAGAAAATCCAACTTTTTCTGCATTGCATCCAATTTGTTGAATAAAAATGTTGAACTTGCTTTGATTATTAGCTTGTGCCTATTAATAGGAGGGGGAGAGGCTCATACCCAATTGCTGATTTGCAGCAATATTTTTCCTTTAACAACCAAACCGCTACAAGTTGGTTGCCACGATTACTTCCCAGGAAACAGCAGAATTCTCGTGTCCGATTTATTGTAGTTGGTGTGTATGTTAAAACAAAGTGAGCCTAAAACTCTGGAGTAGTTGAAATACAGAAATACCTACCAAATGAATGAATGACGTATTGGCATCACAGCACCTGAGCAAGCGCTGGCAGCTTGGGCTATAGCTTATCTGCTGTTCAAACCAGTGTGATCTTATTTTTATCAAATGACAAATTGGTGTTCAGTGCACAGAAATCCAGTACAATTTTACTCTCTGTTTTTGCGCATCATGTGAACATGGCAGAAGGTAGTCCTTTCAGTAACAACTTCAAACAACACCTGCGTTTATCCAAAAAATTAGAGGCTATTATGAACTCATACCATTCTCTACGTCTTTCCATTACTTGGACAACTGAATATTCTTTTGCTTTAGCAAGAACATCCAGAGCAGTGCTTTGACTACCCCCCAGAAAAGTATATTGTTGTTGTTGTTTTTACAAATATATTTGTAAACTTAAGTACAAAAATAATTAGCTTTAAACTTCCCCATTCGGTTTCCGGTGATGGGACGCGAAACACAAGATAGTGTCGACCACTTATTCACACCAAATTTCTTATGAAATATCACTTGCCTCAAAAATAGAATTACCCTAGAAAGTATCTGCTTTAAACTTCACGTTATAGCATTTCCCATAGAAGTGGTTTTGGCTGTCTACTGTAAGGATGCTTTTATTATCCACAAAGTGCTTTATACTGTTCTCTCCGTATGTAAAAAGTGTATGTTTTGTGCATGTATATATATATATATATAGCTGCGACAGCTTGTACCTTTTTAAAAACCGAATATTCACAAATCTCAGTCTTTGGTAACAGTCTTTTCAGCCAATAAACTCAACTGACGGTTGAGACAGCTTGGGTTTTTGCACCATCGCCTTCTGCCCCTTCTGCGCCTGCATCCACTTGGTTCATCTTACCAATATTTTTCAAATTTTCCAGGGTGGATTTGAAAGTGTCTTTCAGGCTCTTCTCCAGCACCCATCCTTCGCTCTCACATTCTGGATCTTCTGGATTGGCAATGCTCTCCAGGGAAGTATGCAACAGCCTCAACCCTATCATCACCGACATCTGGTTGGGAAACAGAATTTAAATGCCTTTATTTAAAGAATGGTGACAGCAGTCACGAAATTAAAAGACGCCTGCTCCTTGGGAGAAAGGCGATGGCAAACCTAGACAGCATCTTAAAAAGCAGAGACATCACCTTGCCAACAAAGGTCCGTATAGTAAAAGCTATGGTTTTCCCAGTAGTGATGTATGGAAGTGAGAGCAGGACCATAAAGAAGGCTGATCGCCGAAGAATTGATGCTTTTGAATTATGGTGCTGGAGGAGACTCTTGAAAGTCCCATGGACTGCAAGAAGATCAAACCTCTCCCTTCTTAAGGAAATCAGCCCTGAGCGCTCACTGGAAGGACAGATTGTGAAGTTGAGGCTCCAATACTTTGGCCACCTCATGAGAAGAGAAGACTCCCTGGAAAAGACCCTGATGTTGGGAAAGATTGAGGGCACAAGGAGAAAGGGACGACAGAGGACGAGATGGTTGGACAGTGTTCTCGAAGCTACAAACATGAGCCTGACCAAACTGCGGGAGGCAGTGGAAGATAGGAGTGCCTGGCGTGCTCTGGTCCATGGGGTCACGAAGAGTCGGACACGACTAAACAACTAAACAACAACATTTAAAGAATGTGTAAATCCCTTCATATCCAAGTATGTCAAAGTGATACGCAAAAGGCCATTCAGACAACGAAACAGTATAAAGTGTGCCTTTCAAAACCTGGAAATCAGAAGAACAGCTGAAATCTGGAAAGTCTTGTCTAAATAAAAAGGTTTTCAAATTGGGGTTTAGCTGGTGTAAGTAAAATGGGGGGGGGTGTCATTCCAGGACCACAGTGGGGGCAGAGTGGGGCAATGGGAGAAGCATCTTCTGGCGGTTCCCTCACTGCAAGAAGTGAGGTTACAGGGAACCAGGCAGAGGGGGCCTTCTTGGTAGTGGCGCCTGGCCTGTGGAACACCTTCCCATGAGATGTCAAGGAAATAAACAACTATCTGGCTTTTAGAAGACATCTGAAGGCAGCCCTGTTTAGGGAAGCTTTTAATGTTTGATGTTCTGTCGCTTTTTAAAAATTATTATTAATATTCTATTGGGAGCCAACCAGAGTGGCTGGGGAAACCCAGCCAGATGGGCGGGGTATAAATAATAAATTATTATGATTACATATTCCAAATCTCTTTCAACTCAGTCACATAACCTGGCAGCCCAGAAGCAGGGTAAGTCAAACACTATTTAAAAAGGATTGTTTCCCCTCTGCAGTAGGCCTTCTCCTGAATGGATTTTGAAATAGGGGTAAGCTTACGCAAGTTTAACTTAAGCTGGTGTAAATTCTTCAAGTTTCCTATATTTAGGGTTGCTCTGGACCCGTGACCATCCCAGATGTTGTTTGACTCCAATTCCCATCAGCCCCAGTGAGACCCAACAACATCTGGAGATCCACAGGTTCCCCATCCCTGATCTAAACCCTGGATCCAAAGAACCACAGGATGGACAGAGCAATCCTAAGTAGAGGAAGCTGGCAGAACCTACGCTTGAAAGTCCAATTGGCACCTTCCCCAACCCTGCTTTAGATCCTGGAAAAAGTGTGGCATATCTGGTGCTTGAATTGTTCAACCACATGCAGGGAAGAAACATGTTTTTGCCTTCAATAACTTCCAAGTCCTGCAGCAATAATTTTACTCTAGTAGATGTTTGTGGTTATAAACTTCCTCTAAAATGGCAGAGGAAATCTCAACAGCAATTTTCAGGTACGTTGAAAGCTTTTTGTGGGCAGAGTGGTGGTTAGTCTAGATAGCAGGGCCAGCCCAAGACATTTTGGCACCTGAGGTGGACCTGGAAATGGCACCCCATGCCCCACCAGAAAAGAAGGGTTGAGGGGAGATCTACAGCAAGCAGAAGAGGGGGACAAAGATTGACGCTGGGATCAGCTATCTCTGCGGACCATGCTGCCTGAGGCGGTTGCCCCACCTTGCCTCATAGGTGGGCCAGTCCTGCTAGATGTCACCTGAGGAGTCTCCTACAGCCCTTGCATTGTAAAATCTCAGAAGGCAAGTGGTAGAAGTTCAGTGAAAATGTTATACTTCTGCACTTGCATCAACCAGAACTCTTGACATTTTACAATCAAGTGTCTGGTTATCTGGTCAAGGACAGGAGTGGGGGACCTGTAGGCTTTCAGATGTTGTAGCATTATAACTCCTGTCAAGGGATGGTGGGAGTTGGAAGTGGCGCCCGCCCTGTTGAACACCTTCCCATCAGATGTCAAAGAGATAAACAACTACCTGACATTCAGAAGACATTTGAAGTTCAGGGAAGTTTTTAATGTGTGACATTTTAATGTATTTTTAATCTTTGTTGGAAGCCACCCAGAGTGGCTGGGGAAACCCAGCCAGATGGGTGGGGTACAAATAATAAATTATTATTATTATTTATTATTATTATTATTATTGGAGTTCCACGTCTAGAATACCCCCACTCCTCTCCCAGACCAACTAGATTGTAAAATATAAGCATTCACATTAAGCTATGCGGCAGATTACTATTATTTATTGACGATTAAAATGTAATGGATGCGTGTTAGAGTTACCAGGTGAGGTGGGGCAGTTCTATGGTTGAATCTGACCAATACAAAGCAAAATGCAAACATGAAACATTTAAAATGGCCACTCGCAGACCAGAGTGGCCATTTTAAGAACACAGCCGGATTTGCTTGCAAGCCTGAGAGAAACCAGGTCCCTCTTGCACATCCTGGCTGGCCTGTTTGTGTCTCCTGCAATTATGTCACCTGGCTGCAAAGCCCTCAACTTTGAATTTCAAAAATAAGAAGTGGAACCCGAGAGAATGATGCCACTGGGTAAGAGGAGTGCTTCTTGTAGTTCTATTTTGACTTCTCGTGTAGTTTTTATGTGTGTCTAGAGTGGGAAAAGAATGAAGAGCACTTTCTTCTTCTTCTTCACCCAATTCCAATGCCTTCTCCTGCTGTGTTATACAGCTGTCAGCCATGAATACGAGCATTTTACAGCGGTGAGGTGAATGGATGAATGAGAAATTAGAAGTGTTCATTTCCCTTTTTATGCTAATAGCACAGCGCGGCGCTGTCAGGGGTGGGGGAGGTTAACCTCATAGCACTCATCCAAACCTAATCTCCTGCTGCAAGATACTTACTATATCCTGCCAAGGACTTAAGTAGGCCAATGTCCTTTCTCCTAGGGCCAACCCTGGCGTCAGGCAGAGCTGGAGGGGGAATGGCAGACCACTGGCGGTTCTTTCTGAGTCCTGAACTGTTCCCCTCTGTCACTGTCAGCATCAATCCTCTGTAAATCCTAGAAGCTCACAGTTCCGGTCAGGGCACTTTGAGGTTTTTTGTTTTTTTAAATGTCACTTAATGTGCACACCTAAAGACCTAGGTATATAGAAACCTCTACCTTATTTTTGGATGCCCCCATTTCTGTTCCAGACTGATAGACAGTCAGTCACCCAAGCTGACCATCAGAGAGGAGGATGGCTGCTTCAGAACAATAGTGTCTGGGCAGTTAAGAGAGTTCTGAGAAGGCTTATTCTGTTAGACCAGGATTTCCCAAACTTGGTTAGCCAGCCATTTTTTTTGGACTACAGTTCCCATCATCCATGACTACTGGTCTGGCTACCTAGGGATGATGGGACTTGTAGTCCAAAAACAGCTGGAGACCCAAGTTTGGGAAATCCTGCATTAATGCGAAACTGATGCTAAAGAAGTAAACTAACCTGAAAAAAATTAACAGAGTGAGGAAATAATGTTGAGTTTGGTTCTGCTTTATGTTAGGCAGGATACGGCCCTTTACCCCAATGTGAGAATATGGTCTCACGGCTTCTACTTACCACTGCCCCTCATCCTGAGACTAGATCTGCAATGTTCCTGGCATCTGAATCTAGCCTGTATGTTAACTCCTCCTGCCATACCACAGTCTTATCACAATGTACCTATTGGGATGCCCTTCTGCCATGGTGAGCTGTGACTTGAGGCCGCCAGTCCACAGTGGAGTGCCTCTGTCATCTTCCACCCTGCCCACTCACATGTAAAAGACTTGATCATGCCTGACCATCCCTATGGCAGGAATGGGGAACCTTTTTGCGACTGAGGACCACATTCCCTTCTGGGCATGCCAGAGTGGGTGGAGCCAGAGGCAAAAATGGGCAAAGCAATGAATGTGGTTTTTTCCTTTGTACAGCAAACTAGCTATCCTGAATTAAAGCAAGCAAGTGTCATTATCTGAGGTCAAAGGCACACTCCATTCAGGAAAAACACTACTGAGGGTTTTAAAAGCAACACCCTTTAGCACCATCTAGCCTGATGAACATCTCTGGATTAACTTGAAAGCTTTTGCACTATTTTCTGACCTTTTCATACAGCCCTAATATGGATTTTGGATATTTTCTTATGGGTTGTTGCAGCTCATTTACTTTCTGCGTTTTTCCATTGACTGCCCTTGAAATGGGTTTAAAGCAGCCTTTGCCAGCCTGGTGCACTCAAGATATTTTGAACTACAACCTCCATAAGCCCAGGACAACACATCCAAGGTAGGGATGATGTGAGTTGTGGTCCAAAATATCTAGAGGTCATCAGGTTAGTAAAGGCTGGCTTAAAAGGTTCCCTTTTCTTTTCCTGATCTAGCCTGGCCAGGAAACTCTCCTTCCCTTAAACGAGTCCACAAGATCTGTCGTCCTGCCTTCTCTACCAACAAGGAGGAGCATCCTAGAAGGCCACTGCCTGGTTGACACAGCTAAATACAGTGGTACCTCGGGTTAAGAACTTAATTCATTCTGGAGGTCCGTTCTTAACCTGAAACTGTTCTTAACCTGAAGCACCGCTTTAGCTAATGGGGCCTCCTGCTGCCACCATGCTGCTGGAGCATGATTTCTGTTCTCATCCCGAAGCAAAGTTCTTAACCCGAGGTACTATTTCTGGGTTAGCCGAGTCTGTAACCTGAAGCATCTGTAACCTGAAGCGTCTGTAACCCGAGGTACCACTGTATAGAAATTTAAGCTAAGAACATTGTCCTTTTTTATTTACATCATAAACTACTAAGTCAGAAGTTGAAGAAAGTTAAAAATGAAGGCAAAGAGTGTGGGCATAGCCAGAATTTATGTTGTTGGGGCAAGGATGGGGGGGCAGAACTGAGCTATCTGGGACGTGATTGGTCAGTTAAGTATTTTTATTTACTTACTTGATTATGGGGGGCAGAAAGGAAAAGAAAAAATAGGATGGGATCATAGCATTAAAGGCCTCTCTCTCCCACTCTCAGGAAGTGTTCCTCCCTACTTGCAGAATATAACAGTAAAGCACTCAGCAAGCCCAAAACCTGAGCTCTTTAGTACTATTGGGAATGTTTTGTGTGAGATCAGGGGAAGATTTCCTTGTCTCCCCTCCCCTGCAGGCCCTGAACAGCATGGAGCTCAGAATAGTAGACCTCCTTTTACAGTGTAATGCGGACCCTCCAAGTCTACCTATTTTCCAGGGACGTCCCTGATTTAGAGAAGACGTCCCAGTTTCTGATTTGATCCTGGAATGTCCAGCTTTTCCTTAAGGTAAAGGTAAAGAGACCCCTGACCATTAGGTCCAGTTGTGGCCGACTCTGGGGTTGCGGTGCACGTCTCGCTTTATTGGCTGAGGGAGCCGGTGTACAGCTTCCGGGTCATGTGGCCAGCATGACTAAGCCGCTTCTGGCGAACCAGAGCAGCGCACGGAAACGCCGTTTACCTTCCCGACAGAGCGGTACCTATTTATCTACTTGCACTTTAATGTGCTTTCGAACTGCTAGGTTGGCAGGAGCAGGGACTGAGCAACGGGAGCTCACCCTGTCGCGGGGATTCGAACCGCCAACCTTCTGATAGGCAAGCCCTAGGCTCTGTGGTTTAACCCACAGTGCCACCCGCGTCCCTAGCTTTTCCTTAGGATGTCCCTATTTTCATTGGAGAAATGTTGGAGGGTAATGGAGTTATCCGACCCCCCAAGCTGTCTGAAGGCAATCCTGGGAATATTTTATTTTTTAGGGAAGGTTTTTTAAAAATGTTTAATGTTTTAATATGTTTTCAGATATGTCGGAAGCTGCCTGAAGGGGCTGGGGCAACCCCATAAGATGTGGGGGGTATAAATAGTAAAATTATCATTATGGAATGGGACGTCCCTATTTTCATCAAAGAAATGTTGGAGGGTTTGTGTACCACGCCATTTTGTTGTGGGTCCCCTCACTTGGTACCATCACCCGTTCTTGCTCTTCTGTGTGGAGGGCTGGCCTTTCACTGTGGTTCTATGCAAGACACCGAAACTACTATGCCGATGTATTACCTCAAAGAGCCAGACAAAGAGGACAATGACTCCCATGGAGCTCATCATGCTGCTGTAGTATTTAAGCAGAGCCTCCCTGCAGCCGCGGTTCCATAGATTGAGCTCTTCGGTTTGAAAGTCATAGCTGTAGTGAGCTGAGTTGTTAGACACCTGGTACTGGATACAAGGTCGTGGCGAACTCGGGTTGCAGCAGCTGAAGGGGACGCCATCCACCAAGTATCTGCCGTCCACGTTGCTTTTAATGCGACTGTAAACAGGCAAAGCACAGCAAGTTACAAATATAAAAGCATCTGGATCCAAAGGCATTCCTGCTGCTATTAAGTGCACCGTTTCTGGGCCACAGAGTGCCACATCCGAACTCAGAGTGTGCCTCCTGCATGCAACTTTCCCCCCAGAGTCCACATCATATTGAAATGCCAGCTCATATTCCCCCCCCCCTTTGAAATCTAGATTTACTCTTTGTGGGCAAAATCTGCTAAGTTAAACTCTTGTTTCCAAAAGCCCAGATGTGCTCTTTGAGCAACCTGTGCACCTGCTGGAAGCATCCTTAGACAGGCGTAGACCATTGCAATCATTGGGTCAAGTTGGGCATTCTTAACTAATAATGCTCATTGATTTCCATGTGTTCAAACCTGGACCCAACCCTGCATGATCATCCTGCTTTCCCTTCCAAAATAATACCCACATCCGATAGTTCTTTGTTACCTGAAATCAGTAGTGATACCTGGAGTAGGATGAAACTGCAATGTTGGCCTCCAACACTGGTGTCACTGCTGCTTAATTGGATGGGACTGGGGTGGAGTGGGCTGTGTAGCTGCACCACTAGTGGGACGTGGCTGGCGCAGCCACACACCCCTGATCTCTTCGCCGTCCTGCCCCAACCTCGCTCAGGTAAGCAGCAATGATGCTGGGTGAGGGGGTAAGTGGTCCCACCATATGTCCTGCTCAGAACCTTACTCTGTTCCTTCAGATGATCAGTCGAGAGCAGCCCATTGTTTCCCGCCCACTCACCAATTAGGGGGAAATGCCACTCAAATTCCACAATGCTTAATCAGCTAGTTTGATAATTTAATAATTGGCCAGAAGAATACTCCAATTTACTATCGTCTGCATAAGCACTCGTATTACGTGTCTGTGTAATATCTCAGAAGAGGACGTCTCCCTTTTCTCATACATGGGAGGGAAAGCCGCTTCCTACGTCACATGCATGCATCATGGGAAGCAGGGATGGGAAACTCGTGGTCCTCCAGATGTTGTTGGACTACAACACCCATCATGCATGAACCCTGAGCATGCTGTCTGGGCCAACTTCCCTCAAACCTGATATAAAACCAAAGGACATCCAGAACTATCGTTTTTACTCCTGTACAAATTTAACTGATGGCTTGAAGAAAACCTGATGGTTGGATCCTGAGAAGTGCTGGCAGAAGGGGGTCTACAGAAGATGACGTCCCCACCATTTTTTTGCCACAGCAGCCTCCTGAGGTCCCTGGAAATTCCCCGATGGTCGAGGAACTTCCCAGAATTATAGTGCGGCAGTGGAGAGAGGGAATTGCTGAAGATCCGACAGAGGCACCATCCATGAGAGGGGAGAGAAATTGAGCCTGCGATACAAACCTCAATTACCTGGGAGCACACCTGACTAAATTCAATAGGAGTTGAATATTCTGAATAGATATGATTAGATTTCTGCTGTAAGTGATTCAAAGAGAGAGAGAGAGATTGTGTGTGTGCATGCCTTTGTCTGCTAAAGGTGATAAGTCCTTGATAAGTTCAGTGACTCTATGAGGAGTTCAGGGTATGCATCATATTTCAGAGGGGTGGAGCTGAATGAAAGTAAATGACAAAAATATTGTCAGTGAATGTGTCCAGTGAATGTGGATAAAACATGCAACAAACCCTCATGCAACAAACCCGGGACATGATTAATCAAATATCTTTATATTCTGAACAGTGCCCAAACTTTAGTAGATCCTTGTCAGATCCTTACCAGTAAATCCTGATGAACTCTGATGAAACTTAATTGTTTTATTCGCAAGAAGAAAAGGTACCTTCACCTTATTTTTGGTGCTCCTTGTGCTCCTCGGCGTGCACCGGGGATTGGCCAACCTGGCAAGAACTCCTTCCTTCCTTATTTATTTTAAAGTAATTATCTAGCCCTCCTGGAAATAAAACTATGACGCAAAATGTGCAGGTGCCTTTCTAAGCAATTGATGTGAAATGAGATGGCCTGGCTGCTCCTGTCTGTCAGTGTTTTTAGCCTACGAGTGAAGTCAGAACAGTAATTGATAAGTTAGTTGTTTGGACACCAAGCTATAGGACTGCATGCGGTCTTAAAGAGCTGCTGTTCCCCCCTCCTCTTTTCCTGATTTTGTTTTGGTTTTCCAGACCCACGTGCTGCTCCGTTTGTTTTGCTGCCTGCCAGTCACATGAAGCAGCTGGCAGCCAGGTACAACAGAGGCTTTTTAGAAACGTGTGTGTTGGCGTAAGAGTAGGAGCATGAAAAACGCCTGCCACTTGCTTTCTTTGGCCTGCCGGCCACATAGAACAGAAAGCAGGCAGCTGCTTGAGAAATGTTATTAAAATGTGGGTGTGATGGAAGAAACGCAGGAATCCTCCAATTGCTGCTTTGTTTGTTTTACTGCTTGCTGGCACATGGAACAGGCTGCTAATTGAGAGGAGGCTCAGCTGAACATTGTGATGGTTAGGGTATGACAACCCTTTTCTTGTTTGTGTTGCATACTCCACAGCAGGGATTGTTTCATTTTCATTCATTTATTTTTTTTGCGGGGGGGGGTAGATCCCAGTACAGATACATCACAATGAAGATCACCTTTCCCCTGGTTGTTCCCAAGTTGTTGTTTTGAGAGGAAAGCAAAGGCAAAAATACTGGGTGGCATTTAGATGCACTGAAACCAATTAACAGAACCAAGCTAGGTCCATTAACTTCAATGGGTCTATTCTGAGTAAGACTTAGTTGACTACCACCCACTATTATCACCTTCTCCTCATATACCCTTAATTTTGAGAAGCTTGCAGATGACGTTAAGTCTCAACCATTACACTAGTCTAGACCTCTAGTTCAACTACTGTTCTGGTGGGTTTTTACTTTATTATCTTTGTATTTTCCTTATATTTCTATTCTTTCCTATTTCATGAAGATAAGGGGGGGATACTTGTCGGTCAGCATTAAGTGTCTCTTTATTTGTGATTATGGCTCAAGTTTTAATGGCTCAAGAAGCAGTGTAATCGTAAGCTATTCACGGCTGGCCCTACCGTTAGGCAGAGTGAGGCAACCACCTCTGGCAGCAGTTCTGGGGTATTGTGAAAGGGCAGCAAATAGCTAGTTATTAAATTTATTATTATTGTATTTTTACTCCCAGGAAAAAGGTCCCATTAGGATTTTCTCCATCAGATGCCGCCAAAATACCTGAGCCAGGCTTGGTACTTTGCAAATTGACCAGGTAATGATGGGTGGTCACCACTGACATTTCCACCAAGGCAGCCTTGGGCCAGCCCTTAATCTATTGCCAAGGGTCCCAAACATTCAAGCGTAAGAATGTGCATTGGGGAACAGGGAGGAAATGGAGGAGTTCTTGGACTTTATATATTGTACTCATGCTCTCATCTTTCCTGAATGGTACTGTGAGATGTTGAACCGATGGATTCCCATTGTGATTGGTACAGAGCAATATAACACAAAGGTATAGTGAAAGCCAGGTGCAGATTCGAATTTGGGAAGCACACTTTGTACAATCTTAAAGCCCCTAACTAAAGAGGAAACCCTACTGAACGTAGTGGGATCTGTTTCAAGCCAAAATGGACTTAGAATTACATTATCCTACTTATGTCCCTATTTACCAGGGCAATGTCTCTGGTTAATCACTGTCCTGTTTTGTCCCATTTCTGCACTTTTATCCGACCTGTTTAAAACTGTTAGTGCAACTTGCTGTGAGTATGGACAACATGAAGACCCCTACTCCCTTGGTTCTTTATAAACCCAATTTGCACACTTCAAATAGACAACTAAAGGACTGCTCCCCCTTAAGTAGAACACACGACCACCCTAGTTTTCATCTGTGAATTTTGGGAGATATTGAGACATGGCCTCATTTCATCTGAAATAGCCCTGAATCCATTTACAGCCCCTGACATATTGCACACTTAATAGCCTAGTTGTGACCTCCACTCTCATCCTCACAAACAAAACAACCATGGTTTTCTAGGCAGCTGATACGGTTTTAAAGGGCTCACTTCCAAACTTAAATGTGGAACTTCATTTTATTCATTTATTCTACAATTGTCAGACTATTTCTTAAGGGTCTAAATGGAGCCTTCCGTGAACTCCCATGAAGGTGGTGAGGAGCTTCTATGTCACCTAACTTCACCATTAGGATTGAGGGCCAAACCTGTGTCTAAGGAGGCCCAGCATTCAATATTTTTCAGCACACCCACGTTTTTAAGCACAGCATAATCTTGTTTTTCCCCTCCTGCCCTGCCTTTCTGCTATGGATGGATTAAGAGCAAGCTCACAAATCTTCAGCTAATGCTGGCAAGGGTGAACATCTCATTAGGTTCTCTCAAGTAGTTATTTATATCAAAGGGTATTTCAACTTAAACTATCCCCACACTTTTTCAACAAGTATCACTTTTGACATAGCATGCATCAAAGTTCAGAAAATGCTAATAACAGTATTATATAGCTAGTGGCTTAAAGATAATAAAATTCTGGCCATAACCATCACAGCCAAAGAAACAAATTTAAGAAACTCCAGGACAACTTGCCAAAAACCAAGCAAAACAATCTCAGTATGCTATCTGAGTATAATATTTTACATTTTTATATATTTGTCATCATTTAAGATAAACAGTTACAATTATTTAAATATACAATTACTTAAATGTAATTGCTTAGCCATTAGCATATAACTAATACGAACATATCCAATACAGTGGTACCTCGGGTTAAGAACTTAATTTGTTCCGGAGGTCCGTTCTTAACCTGAAACTGTTCTTAACCTGAAGCACCACTTTAGCTAATGGGACCTCCCGTTGCTGCCGCGCCGCCGGAGCACGATTTCTGTTCTCATCCTGAAGCAAAGTTCTTAACCTGAAGCACTATTTCTGGGTTAGCGGAGTCTGTAACCTGAAGCGTATGTAACCTGAAGCGTATGTAACCTGAAGCGTATGTAACCCGAGGTACCACTGTACTGTATATGTAACTTCACCATCCATCTACCACTTTCACTTGTATTTAGGGACCAATTCAAAGATAATTCGCCATGCTTAAATTCCACTGAAAGTAATGGGATTAATTTAATTGCAATGGGCTTGTCCCATTGATTTCAGTGTGATTTAGGCCACACTTACCAAGGATCAGGCCCCTCTGAAGCCAATGGGACTTACTTCCAAGTAGACATAGATCAAACTGTATTGTAACACATTAACTTTGCCAGGATTGGTACCTTAATGCCTAACATATTCCGGGGCTCTTTTCATCGGAGGAATTCATGTGTGTTTACTGATTGCTTTGGGAAATACCTAATTGAGTTGGAAATGAATTCCTTCCTTACTGTCATCATACTATTTAATGGTGTTCCTGAGCAACACATTACAGCATCCCAGAAAAATGCTTGTTTAATGAAAAGCTAGCAAGAATTGCGGTAGCCATAAAATTCGTATAAATTCTGTTTTAATTTGTGGTTGATTCGTTAAAATTTGGAAAATCAATAAAAGTGATTTGGAAAAAAGAGAAAGTATTGTGGCAGCCATGGTTTACAAAGTCTCATCAGGCGCAATGCACAAGGAGTTTCTTCTCTAGAACTTCCATTGAAATGAATGGAGCTTGTGTGCCTAGTGAGCTATGCCCAACAATGTTCGAAAAGAAACAGATTAATATTTGGTTATTAAATGGAAACTAAAGTTTGATATAGGCACATAAAAGTTCACAGAAGAAAAGGGCTGTTAACTCTGGTCACTGCAGGTGAAAAAGAACCCAGCCCATTCTTTTTAATGGGGCATTTCTGGGAAGCACCACCGCGAATGATGCCTTTTCACGGTTTGCAACAAAAGAGGCTTCTCGTGTGATGAGCTGCACTCCTGTGCCACAGGCTGGGAAGCTTAGGAGCTGGAAGAGCTTTATGAAATCCTGAAATTTTCAGCAATTCACTGATTAGCCTTTGACAACTCTTTTAATCTCTGCAGTTGTCAGAGACCGTGCTAACTGATAACCTGGTGTGTGTGTGTCTTTTTTCCTGCTGATTGTGGTGTATAACAGTGGGGGGAAGTGCTGCTATATCCATATATTCTGGTTGAGAGGAGTTCCCTACCAGCACAGACTTTGCTCGTGTGCTCAAGACATCGATTCCATAAAACATATTTTGCTGCACTGTGTGGAATATGAGCAAGCCAGGGCTGAACTGATATTACCCTTGCTGGTACCTTTCCCGGGAAAATCAGAGGCTCACTATGTCAGGTTCCTATTGGAAGACCGGACAAACGCTAGAACATTAGCAGTGGCGAAGTTTTTATCGGTGGTTGCAAGAACCAACGATCCCTATCTTTAAGTCAAACAAAATGCTTGTTTAACCTGGAGGTAGGCTGTCTGAATTGTGCATTGCTTTCTAACGATTTGTTGGGACTCTGGACCGTAATAAAGATTGATTGATATATTCAGATTCTGTCCCTGCATGAAAGTGGTGTGGGACCGTGACTACAACTCTCATGTTTTCCTTTAGTGCCAAACTATAACTTGAGTAAGCTTTTCTCAAAAAGGAGCGAGGGGGGGGGGGGAGAAAAGCAAACATGTGGTGCCCTGATCCACATTAAGAAGTGCAGTGAGTGGGAGGAGGAATTTAATGCCAGGAAATCCCACCAGTCTATTTACCTCCAAAGGTGCTGCAAGCGCGACACTTATTTTGTGACATTCAGAAGCGTTGAAAGTACTTGCCGCTATGTTGTTGGGTTTCTTTTGCAAAATTACCTTGGCTATAATTTTACTTGGTGTGTGTTTTCCCACCGGTAAATTACCCAGACCTCTTCATAGCACCTACAGTGATTATGCGGTACTTGAAAAACATCGCTAGCAAAACGTACTATCCGAAGCAAGACCCATGAAGCATCTCAATGTCCAGGCATGCTGTAAGGGAGCAACAAGAAGGACTGCGAGATCTGCAAAACGGTCAAAGACAATCTGCCCAGCTGGTTTTATAAAATCAGCTGGGACAGGGTCTGCGTCTCTCTGAAGGCATGCCCGTTTTGCACAGCCCTACGATTCCATCTGTTCAATAAGCCAAGAAAGCCAATAATAGCCACAGAGCGACTTAACAGAGGTCAAGACAAACGTTAGGGCTCAGTGCAAGCAGGAAGCTCTCTTGCACAGCCCCTGCTGAAATGAACAAGAGCCACGTTAATCGCTTCGTTTCAGTGGGGCTTGTGCTGGAGAACCTCCTTACTCCCTCTCCCGTTTAAGGGCAAAACTGGCACAATTACTTTATTACAGCACCAGGTCTGAAAGATACGAATGAACCTGGGAGATTTAATCAGCCAGCAAAGCAATATATTTGGCATCTTGAAATGCCAGTCTCCTTCCTTTGAGGGATAAAACACCCTAATTCCATGTGTTTTTTTTAGCTGAGCCTCTAGCCATTCACAATAAAGCTTTAAAAACAAACTAAAAACTAAATGACCTAGAAAACATTGGGAAAACACACATTACACTGGAATGTTGAAGAAGGCTTTTTGTATTGGAACATAGGAAACTGCCTTATATTGAGTCAGATCTTTCATCCATCTAGCTCCATATAGTCTACACTGACTGGCAGCTTTCTAGGGTTTTAGGCTAGCTGTACCTGGGGGTGCCAGGTACGGAACCTGGGACCTTCTGCATGCAGAACGGCTGCCCTGCCACTGAGCTACCAGCCCTTGCAAAGGAAGAAACACAAAAGACAAGAGGCGCCAAACGGATTCAGATGAGAATGACTTGAGATTCCGATAGTAGGACTTGGAACGCAAACACGGGTTAAAGCAATAGTTATACTTAACTACTTACTCTTTCACTTCCTTAGAGCCAAAATCCAAGTATCGGTTGCTGATCCACTGAATCTCAAACCAGTCTCTAAAACCATTGTTTCCACAACATTTGAACTCAATCTGGAGCATGTCGATGGTCTTCTTCATGAAGCACCTTCCTGGAGTATCTGTATCTCGATAGAACTTCATGCCATTTTTTAGACCATGTTCTAATGTACTATCCAGAGAACCTCTCAGCAGAAAGCAAATGAGAACCACGAAGAGAATGAAGAGGTTAAAGAGCACACACAACACTAGGTACACTTTCAAGATAGGCTTCCACTTTGCAAATTTAGCAGGATCCAGAGAATCGTAACAGATCTTGCCTGCAAGACCATTGAACACAGAGGCTAGGAGACCCACCAAGATCAAGGAATTCGGCACAAAGTGGCTTTCAGAGTTGTCCATCACTTCACTTCGTTTCCTGAGCTCAATTTTCAGGAACAATCCCATAGAGAAAACAACGATCCCAGCAAACAAGGAGAACCAGTTCATGAGCCATAGTCCTTGTGCTAGTTTTACTCTTTTCTTCTGGTTGAACTTGACTTTCATCACAGCCATCTCTGCAGTGTTAGGCTCACCAAGACTTCACAAAAATTAATCCTGTTTTGGAAAAGAGGACAACTTCAGGAAGATCTGCCACCATTCAGGCCTTGAAGATTCCAAATGGCGTAGCTCTAACTGAGCTATGGTTTGGCCCCTCCATCTTGCCGAGCCTGAAGGAGGAGAAATGTGGGTAGGTTTTCCAAGGGGCAAGAATCAACAAATTTCACAATGAATAAAAAAAGGATTATTGGCAAATAGCACATGCAACTATTTCTAGTGGTCCCTTCCATGCAAAGGAGAAACAGCTTCAAGGTTTCAAATGATTAAAGCTGGATCTACAATGCGTCATTCTAATACTAATCAGCGTGATCCAATTTAGAGAAATCTCTGCCAGCAGATGAGCAATGGAAATAATCCCTCATTTTACTAGTTAGTGGATTTGTGCTTTCACATGATATGTTACAGCACACTGCAGTTGAAAACCAGGTTATTTCAAGGATGTCCCATTCCTAGGCTCTTTTTGGGAGAAAAGCCGACACTCTCTGAATTCAAAACTGGATCAGAGACATTGCTATTTTTTTAGATTACGCCAAGCCAGTAAGACCATGTTGCTGCTTATCCTGTCCTGCCACTCACCTTTAATGACATCCCTCTGGTTTACGTGGGGTTTTTTTTGGTGGAATTAAGGTCACCTTTTAAAAGAACAAAAATTTATGTTTTAGGAAGCGTGGATGACAAGTTATACCCATCCTCTAACCTTTCACAGCTGGAAGTGTTCAAAAGCATGGGAGAAACTGTTTCGATCCTCACCAAAAACAATTCCCAAAGATATTGTGAGCAGCTTATAGGCTAATCAGGCTGGGCCAACAGTGGAGTAGAACTTGAGGCTTTAAGAAAGAAAACCTTTTGTGCAGTGTGACACCAGGGATGTAGTTGCCCCACAGATTAAGCAGGGAATCTCTGCTCCAACGTCACTGCTTAAGGAAGAAGACTGTCTTTTATGGACCTTGAGAATCTCAACAGGGTGTTCCGGTGGTGGAAATAGAACTCAGAATACAGTATGGCAGTAGCTGTAAAGACTCTCATTTGTGGATGAGTATGATTATGAACTGTGCGCCAGCTATAGGTAATTTCTTACTAGTGTACATGCCAATACAAGTCCTTATTTTCTTTATTTTCAGTGCAAGAAATTGTAAGTCATGTTGACTCTCTCATCTTTGTTCTTGCATTCACCCTAGTAGATAAGAATTACTTAACAGAAAGACGTATGTGGGCTCCCAGTAGACCCTAACCCATGCTTTTGGAAATCTTTGCAATCCATCTAACATACGCAAAATGAAAATGAAAATGTAACTTTTTAAACAGCAGGAGAAAACATCAAATTCTGTACAGCAAAATATTGCAAGATCCTTCTGACTGATCGCAGATCTTCATGGAAAGCGGGAGAAAACAGAAGCGGTGTAACATGCCTCTGTATAATCTAGTAGCAAATAATAACATTACAAGAAACATGACATCAGTAAGATTTATGTGATCAACTAATGCTAAAAAATGTTGGCTACAAACTTTTAAGTTCTCTTAGTACAGATATTCAATAAAAAATATGTTTCTAAATTACAGTATTTTCCCAGTTACTGTCACGTCTTCAGATTTTCAATTCCAAAATGGAATTAGTGAGTTGGAACACCCATTTGTACATTGTGTTCTAAGCACACACAGAGAAAGGGAATAGCTGGAGGGAGGTGGTCCCAGCAGGAAAGACAGGGTAGAAAGGTTCTCCCAGGGTGGGAGACTGGAAGAAGTAGACTCCCAGGTGGGAGCTGGGAGGGTCTGCCTTTCTTTGTGTGGATAAATGATATGATATATATGATATAAATGTGATAAAGGGGCCTTATAGTTATTTTTCCCCTCCTCTCTCTCTCTGTGTCTCCCCCCCCCTTTCATTTCTCTTCTCATTTCTTGGTTTTTTACCATTTTGTAATTTAGTTTTATGTTGAAAACTTTCAGTAAAAACACTTTTAAAAAATACATTGTGTCCTAAGCTACATCGGTAGATTTCCAGTTATGTGTACTTTTAAAATTGTTGCCTTCATTAAGACAGCAAGCAAGAGACACAGAAGTGCACCAAGCAATCATGGTATAAAAACATACGGGAAGGAACCCGGATAAAGGATGACAAAACCCATCACTGTAGATGCCAGTCTCTGAGTATGGCTAACATTTATCGTTACTTTTAACTGATTTAACTATGTACAATGTATCCCTCTCATGCACAGCTTAGAGGTATAGAAATTATTAAAATAAGTAACATTTTGTATGTGATATGGCTCTAGGTGGGAGCTTCCTCTTAAGTGAGAGAGGTTTAATTACAGACAACCACTTTAGCCCCGGAGAGAAACATTACTATTTTCAGTGAAACATCAACTTGCTTTTAAAAAATGAAACAAAACATGCTTTCTACATTGCCCTGACAATGGCATTGTAGCCCACCATTATGCAAGTGGTCATTCCACCCCCACTTATAAATCTCTTAATGGAAAGTCCTTTCCCCTTCCAAAGCCATCTGCTCAGTTACTGATCAGCTTGTTTCATCAGGAAGTACTTCCTGAAGTTTAGTCTTCCTAAGTTCAAGGCATTGTCATACCTCTTTGAGCTGCCATGGTTTCCCCCAGAATCCCAAGTGCTGCGGCTTGCTGGGGGCTGCTAGAAGCCCCTGCTCTTCTTGCAGAGCTACATTTTCCAAAATTCCCTGGGGAGAGGGATTGACTGTGAAACTATTCTGGTAATGTTAGTTCTGTGAGGGGGAATTGGGGGCTCCTGACTGCCCTATGCAGCCTTACCGGGCTGCAGTTCCCAGGGTGTTTGGGGGTGGGGGAAAGTCATGACTGTTCACGTTGTATAATAGTGCTTTAAATGTAGAGTGCAGATGGGACCTAAATTTTTTAAAAATCTCTGCTTAAAAGGCTTGATGGAAAAGAAAGATCTTCAACAGGTCTTTTAAATGTGTTCATGGGGAGGCGGTTATTGTGGGGTTTTTTGTTATGTCATGCATGTTGTGTTTTCATTTTGTATTCTTGTGTTGTAAACTGCCCTGTGATCTTCAAATGAAGGGTGGTATATAAATTTAATAATTAACAACAATAGTTCTGATGTAGGAGGCAAGGACTGGACTGCTGCTCAGCTTCCCTGTGTCAGTTGTCTAGCTACAGTGACTTTCTAACCTATGAAAGGCCTTCTACTTGCACAACAGAACTTTCCCTGGTTTCTCCCCCATTCACACACCACAGCCCTCTTTGCCCCTTCTGAAAGCTGCTTCAAGAGTCAACGGATCTTCTGGAATGGTAGTCATTTCACAGCAGGATAAAGAAATTAGAATCATTTGGCAGGGCTGTCTTGTACAAGCACATTTCTGCTCACACAATATATTCCTGGATCCAAGCTGCACAACAGGGATCAACAACACTATCCCTTCTCACCTATAACAGCTTGCTAGGGTGTGTGTGGTACTAGGAGCCATACATCCAATTAATTATTGGAATTCACAGTGCTACCAGCAGTAGAGCCCTCAAGATATGCCACCTCTGGTTTCTCCCCCTGCTTGTGGGAGAGTGAGAAGTGGTCTGTGAATTATGTAACCTTCTCCCAGTGTCACAGAGATATTAAGAGGTAGAGTACCACTTGTAAAACAAAATTCACAAGAAACCAGTCACTTATGACTTTTTAATCCGAGCATCCTGTAAACACGGAAAAGCCATCAATATTTTATAAAACCAGTAAGTTCTTAACTACTTTCATATAAATACTAAAATAACACAAGGAACGGAAATGATTTTTGTTACAGTCAAACAGTTATGAAGACCAATTTTGCAGAGTTTATAGACAGGCCAACAATACTGAGCTCAAAGGCATTACCTCTAACAGTGACTAGTTTGTTTTAATCCAAGATGACATTTGCGGAAATAACATGGACAGTACATCAAGACTTTGAAATGTCCAGACCATTTCATATTTGTACAGAAACATGCAAAATGCTATATGAAGTTTCGTATGGTTACTGTCAAAGTAGTTTTCTTGCATACAGCACAATAAATGTGTGGGCACACTATAGCCAGAGTTCAGCACTTTTAATTTCACAATGATTTTTGTGGGAGAATTAAGCATGTGCTTTAGTTGTTTAATGCACGTATACATTTTTGGCTGGTCACAGACCTTTCAAAAACTTGCAGGTACAGTGTTAATTGAAACCAAAACCAATTATATGCACTTGTTCGGGATTAGAGTATTTGTCAGCTCTAGGTGCAAAGGTGAGCTAAAGCTTACAAACACCGTAATTCAGCAACACGTTTTGGTGACATTTTGCAGGTGGTGCAGGTAATCCTTCAATGTCTTCTAGCAGACGAAAGTATATTCTATTATGGACATTTGAAACTGAAATGGAAGTCCATCCAAAGTTTGCTTCTGGAAATAAAGCATAATTTGAATTGTTTAAAAGGTTAGGCAGCCACTTGAAGGGATGGTTTGACACCCCTATTCTGACTTGTAGTAGCTCTGTTATACATGTGCCACATTCCTAAATAAGCTTATTTGGCAGACATGTGGTATACTAATTGTTGTTAATGTTTTTTTCAGCTTTAACTACAAGTATCAATTTAGCCATTAGATAAAGTTATACTTTCCTCAACACTTGCACTGGTTCTAATGTGTTACAGAGATGAATCACTTCACCATCCAAAGCACTATCTTTTTTTAAACCTGCACAATGGGCAGATAACCAAGAGTACTTTAGTGGTATGGCACATCTTAGCATCTTAAAAGCGGGGGCAGAGATGAGAAAGCACCACCATAACAGAATTTGGAGAAATATTAAGGCAGCATAACAGAGTGCGCACAACAGAAGGCGTCAGCACCATTCATTAGGTAGAAAGAGCCACCAGGCTGTGTTTGGCCCCTGATTATTACACTGCCTAAACCAATACCGGGAACAAGAAAAGGACATCAATCTGGTATCTCTAACTGCATCCTTTGGTAAGCCGTTTCCAGAATGCAGCAGGCACTATCTAGTCCCCTCTGCGGAGGCGAAGGGGCTACAATCACGGGTTCAATCCCAGTCCGTGATCCTCTCATTTTCGGGGATCACGCTCCAGTTCGGCGAGGGCTCGTTCCTAGCCAGCCAGTTGAAGTCGTCCACCTGGTTCCAGTTGTCCCTGCTCCTGTCGAGCCCGGAAGTCTGGAAGTCGGCGTCGATGCCCTCGTAAGTCCACGTGTAGGGCGCGAAGCGGACCTCGCTGCAGTCCTCCAGCATGGCCCGGCAGGTCACCTGCACGTAGAAGCTGCTCCGGGTGGCCAGGTGCGTGCGGAGCTGCTGGCAGGCCAGGGCCACGACGCAGCCGTCGCAGCCGTCCACCATCACCGACGTGGACACGGGCCCGCAGAGCACCGTGCAGTCCCGGCAGCCGCGCACCGACAGCGTGTTGGGGTTGCCCCGCAGCCGCACCCGGCAGCGGCTCAGCTGCGAAAGCGCCACGTCCCGCTGCAGCAGCTCGGCCGGCCCCATTTCCAACTCCAGTCCTTCGGCCCGGCTGAAGCCGCACCCGGGTTCCTCCTCCTCCTTCTCCGCCCGGCTTGGCTGACCCTCCTGCGTCGAAGGCACTGGCGGCGGCGGCGGCGGCGCCTCCTGGGCCTCCTTCCTGAGGCCCTTCTTGAAGGCGAAGCGCTTCTTGGGCTGCAGCTGGAGGCGCCGCTCGGCCAGCGCGTCCTGGAGCCTCCCCAGCGCCGCCTGCGCCTGGCGCACCTCGTAGGGGGCCAGGAAGCGCACCGAGTCCGTCAGCAGCCGCTGCAGCTCCTGCAGCCGCCGCGCCGCCTCCGACACGGCCTCGGCGTCCCGCTCCGGCTCCAGCAAGGCCTCGGCGGCCGCCCGCTCCCGAGCGAAGGCGGCGGCGAAGTAGTCGCTCTGCTCCTCCCGCACCGCCAGAGACTCTTTCTCGCGGCGCCGCCGGCCGGCCTCCTCCTTCCTCTCCGCTTCCCGCTGCTGGAGTCTCTCGGGGACCTCGGGGGCGAAGCCGCCACCGCTGGCGAAAGACACCCCGTTCCTCTCAGGAGCAGCCTCCATTTTGCTTCCTCCGCCTCAGGGACCGGCTTCGAGCGCCTCGCACTAAAGGCGGCGCCGATTGGGCCCCTAAGCCCGGCCTTGCTCGCGATTGGTTGGGGAGGCCTCAAGGGGTGGGCGTGGCCAGCTTCGTTTCTTAAAGGCGCCGCGCCGGCGGTGCTAGGAAAAGTAGGCCGAGGAGGATGTAGCAATAATGAATGCTCAGCGCCCGGCGCATCCGGCTGCTCCTCAGGGAGGGTGGAAGGAGCGAAACAAAACACCGCTGGGTGTGGCCGGGGCTGGAGGAAGTCGAGCGCTCTTTGGACGGAAGAGGAGAGAGGGATTTGCGGGGAAGGGGGTCTTGTAAACTTCGGCTCCTGCTTGTTAAGCGTGCAGTGTTTGCTAGTCTTTAAGGGACTCTTCGGTGTTGCATTTGCAACCAAAGAAAATCGCATGCCTGCCCCACTGCAAATTATTGAGCCTGTCTTTAAGCTCCAGCGATTTATCATGCGCTGCTGTGTTCAGAAATGGATTCTAGAGTAATAGATGTTGCCGCAAAAGCACTCGAAAGGTCCATACATTTTGTAGTTCGCTGTTTGTCCGGAAACAAAAGGCTGTGTTCCCTCACACATTTAATTATCACGTCTGAATAAAGATGCAGAGGGTTGTGGAGGAATGCAGTACATTTTTAAAAAAGAAGGAAGATGAAACAGCTGTTTTCCTTCAGTATAATAAAAACACTAGGTGAGATTTTGGTGCAAATAATTCACTAGATGTTCGAAGTCCATAGCCGGTCAAATTGATCTGGCCCCATGGCAGCATATGTCCCAGGGTAAAATCCTAAAAAAAGCTCAGCAACTTCAGTCCTAAAAACAACTCATCAAGCGTCATTAAATCTGGCCCTCTTTGAAAAAAGTTTAGGCCCCTGTAAATGATTGAAAGATGACATTGCCCTCATCCACTGGTTTTGTGTTAGAGCATATGCTTTGATGCGGAAGGTCCCATGTTCCATTTTTGGTATTTCCAAGTCCAGTAGGGGAAATCCTTTTTCTGAAACCCCAGAGAACAGCTGCCAAACACTAGGCCAGCCTTGTCCAACTGCTGCCCGGCACCAATAGAACCTATAGTGCAACACATCTGAAGTGTACCAGTTTGGCAAATACTCATCTAGATGGACCCAAGACAACTCCCTAGATTCTTAACCCATAGCAAAGGGAGGTGATGGAAAGTCCCAGAAAAGTTATATCCTAGTTTTCTTAAGGTTACCAGATTTTTTTCAAAGAATCCGGGGACACTTTTTTTTTGAAAAGACAAAAAAAGTTATTAAAATTTTATTTATTTATTTTTTAAAAAACAAGAAGTAATATCTTCTCTTCTGTGGTCTCCTCTGTTGCGCGGCCTTCCTCTGGGCCCTGGTCTGCTCTCTTGGAGCACTAGCCGCCTTGGAGTAGGCTTGGGTCAGGCCTGGGCTCAACCATGTGTCCTTGCCCTCCCGGTGCTCTCCTACCTCTCCTCAGTGGTGGCAGTGGCGCGGCAAGGTTGGGGTTCCCCTCTTTTTTGTCCTTCCTCTTTCTCCCTCTTCCATCTCCTTCGCCTCTCCTCCTTCTCCCTGTGCCAGCTCCGGGGTTTTCCTTGCACCGCTGGGCAGTCAGCTGGCTGGCCAGATGCTTTTGCACCCAGCTCGATTTGGGTTGCAGGGGAGGGGTCAGTGGTTCCCCCAGTTGACGTGCTGGGCATCCCCGGTTTTCCCTCAGCAGCAGCAGCGGCGGCAGTCTCAACAGCCCAGAACCAGCATGGTAGCGCAGTTGGCTCTGGCTGGCTTCAGGAGCTGCTCGCTGCCGTGGCACCCACCATTTTGCCTCATATGTCCCCATATGATGTGTCTTGTGCTGTTGAACCAATCACGCAACATTCATTGCCTACTAATAAATCTACAACACTTGAAATATAAATCCAGGAACATTAAATGAAATGGGGGACATTCCGGGGATGGATTTTGTCCAGGGACAGATTTGTAAATCTGGGGACTGTCCCTGGGAAATGGGGACCTTTGGTAACCATATCTTAAACACATTCATGTGGAAATTACTACTCATTCCTCACCATCTGTGCCTGCCATGGAAGGTGTTAGAAATAGGTTTTCACTCACGTTTATGCTGAAAAAAGGGCTCTCAAAGAAGCTTACAAATGCAAACACCATTATAAGATAGTCCCTGTTTTGGGGCTTTGAAAAGGAAAAGGGGATTTAGAGGGAAAAATAATTACGGGCAGCCTGTGACTAGTTAGCATGCTAATACTGTAATAATAATAATAATAATAATAATAATAATAATAATTTACTATTGATATGCCACCCATCTGACTGGATTGCCTCAGCCACTTTGGGCGTCTTCCAACAATTATAAAACCACAGTCTCATTCCTCTACTAGCTAAGAAGACTGACCATGCACCACCACCTGCTGTGTTTGATTTCCTGTAACTTGATTACAGTACTTCCTTAAGAATTCACTGCTGAATGTGTTAACTACACTGAAAAACAATTGTGTGTGAGGTGATTTGAAAGCATCCTCTGCACTGTTTAATCTATGATGCCTGGTTCAGACATGCAGGATCCTTTGTGTGCTAAGTGTGCATGTGTGAACCATGCTTTGGAGACACATTCTAAGTCTGCTGCTTGAATAAAGCTCCAGCGTTGCTTCTTATGTATGGGAGTTACTGATGCAGAATGATGCTTAAGCAATCCTTTGGAAGAAGAAATGCCTGAACAAAGCATTATTGGTTACAATTGCCACTTTGTGGCAACAGTTTGTATGAATCTGTGGTCATACTTACAAAGATCATTATTGGGAACCATTATTTAGAATCGGATGGGTCATCAACTGGTACTCTATAAACACAACTGCCTATCTTGAAGCTGCTCGGTTTGGAGGAATTTGCAAACCTTGGGGGCAGATTATAGACTAGAGATGGGAAACCTATCTTCCTCCAGTTGTTGTAGGACTCCCATCTCTCATCTCGGGCCATATGCTATACCAACTGCAACTAATGGGAGTTTGAGTCCAACAACATCTTGAGGGCCACTGATAAGCCAGGGAACCAGTCAAAAGGGATAGCTGATCAAAAATCCAATTTAAAAACTTAATCAACACAGTCCTATGCATGTTTGTTTAGCAGTCCCAATACGTTCAATGGCTTTAATTCTCAGGTAAGTGTGCACAGGATTCCAGTGTGAGTAGCTTAATTTTTAGAATAAATAAATATACCAATATGCACTAGCTTAATGTTAAGTATAAACTAATCAATTAAAGCTTTTGGTATTATTTCAAAATTTTAGATGCCATCCATGAATTTCAGGGTGTGATATACCCTGGGGGTGTGTGTGATGGGCTTTATGTATTTTCCCCCATCATATTTTTAGTCAGAGGTAAGTCCCATTGAGTTCAATATACTCCCAGACAAATGTGAATAGGATTGAAGCCTTAGCAGAAAAATACCAGTTTTCCTCCACTCTGCTATAATGGATCACATGCGTAGAAACGTGGCTCAGCCTTATACTCACAGTGAGGAGTGACTGTCTGAATTTGACTGAACTGTTGTAAGCTATAATCTTCTGTCTAGAGATAGTCTCTGTTTGGCTTTTATGTCAGATGTAAAATTACAGTATTAGACGTTAGGGAGTTTTCCAGCCCCACATGTAGTAATACCAACCTTTGGAAATCCTAAGAGGAAAGGATTGTAAAGGAGGGAAAGCTAGCAAGGGAATTGCATTGTACCTGGATGGCTTGTTTTGCAATATTTCACCAGGGTTTAAGTATTCTGGGGCCTGCAAGCAAGAGGAGCTGTTGGACTAGTTACTGCTATGGATGTTAAGCTGTACAAAACTGACGAAGGCTTGTAAGTGCATTTTATTTTGCAAGAGATTTGCAATCATCATGGAGCAAAAGTGATAGGCACACAATAACTAAAATGATTTCAATTTCCATCTTGTAATTGATTTCCAGCATATAAGAAGTAATAGCTTTGGGGGGGGGGATGGGTTGTAGAAGGGCAATGTAGTGTTTAGTGCATTATATAGCACTTAGCTGGCTCAGTGCTCACAACTTAATGGGTTTGTGTGTCTGCCTTCAAAAGAACATGAAAAGATTGTGATTTTTATCAGGAGAGTTTCTTATGCCTGGGAAGCATGCTGAATCCTGAAAATGTGAAAAGAAACACAGAGATTTGACTTTTTGTCAATGCATTTGAAAGAAAACTATTGCAAGACATTGCATGAGTGGTATCTGATGCCTTGCAAATTGAAACCTATATATAACCTGTCTAATAATAATTGCTGGAGGTGTGGTAACTTCCCTTGCAGATTGCCTACACATGTATGGAGGAGATTATAAGATTCAAGGTTTCTGGTGGCAAGCCTTAGAAAATAATAAGCAAATTGCTGGATACTCAATTCCAAGAAATCCAGTAAATTAACTTTTAAAATGTTTGGAAGGATATATGGATATATGTTAATGTGGAAATAGTTACCAATATTTTGATAGGAGTGAAAATGTTGATTGCAATGTGTGCGGGGGAGGAGACTACTGCCTCTGGTCAGAATATTTTTAAAATATTGGACATGACAATAAATTAACATATTCCATCCAGGCAAGAGATAATGTATTGACTGGGCAATTTTAATTTCCTTTTGGAATGAAACTTTTGATGGTTATGTTGTCAGATGGTATTGTTTTCTTTTGTTTGAATATTGATGGTAATATCTGCAATAACTCATCTCTTTCTTTTGTAATTTTAAGAACTAATAAAAATAAGCATGTAAAGAGTGAGTGATTATTTATTTATTCCATTTATATCTCTCCTTTTCTTCACAGAGCTCAAGGTGGCATCATAGTTCTTTCACTTCCCAATTTGTCCTCAACACATCGCTGTGAGATAGCTGAGAGACAGAGACTGGCCCAAGGTTACCCAGTGAGCTTCATGGCTGATTTGGGATTTAATGCATATTTTATACGCACTTGCAAGTTTTATTTGGACTTAAGAGGT